GCCTTGTTGAACAGTAAAGTGTGGAACCAACTGTGAACAAGATTTCTGAAGATTTCGTTGAAAATGTGATTACGATTTTAATTACTATGCAGTACACGGAATAAGACTGCAAATGACTGAATTATAATATGGCATAAATTTTTTGCGAAATTTTAAATTATATATACAAATATTATATTACTATTCCCTTGGGTTCCCAGTGGGAAATAGGACTTCAAAAGTACATCTCCATTTCACTATATTTCCCTCAGCCTTTTTGAGCTGGTCCCACTTTTGAACATAAGCTTTCGCCTGTTCAATACTACCCTCGGACACCTAACTCATCGTTTCTCATTTACTTTTCACTTATGGACTTGTTTACAGGATTTCATCATGAGCTGACATTGGTTAGAGAACCATTGGAAAACCTAGGAGTACTGGACAGCTATTTCGTCCTAGCTTGGGACTTTTCAGCGGTACGCACCCAACGGGATTCGAACCCCAGGGCCTTCTGGTTGCAAGGTGAGCTCGTAGACCATTAAGCCACTGGGACCTGATCCAATGGCCCATGAATTCTAACTTCTGTCAATTCACGATATAGCGCAAACGCTAGCCAATGTCTTCGGCGAGTATTTGTTCTCACACCCGACCTGCTGCACCCTACTGGTCACGACTTCCCACTGGAACCCCAGGTAACTACCTACCTGAATAAGGCCAGTCGACAGTGGGCATCTCATTGAATATTATGGACTTGTGTTTAATGTCATTTAACGGTATCCTCAGCACATGTTCAAATCATCTTCATTTTTATTCGGGATATTCGTTGGTCAAGAAGTTCTAGGTTAGTTCACTATCACAGTTCCGTGTTGTCTGCTTATCCTTTCTGGCCATTTGATCTTCAATATGCAGCGGGCGAAGGCAGCTGTTGATAAAAGTCTGGAGCCTGTCCGGAATCCTTTTGGTTACGCTCACACCAAATCTTTAAACCATGTAGAAGGACATCCACATCTTCCTGATGCTGAGTGCAGACTTCTAGACTAACTTCAGACCAATAAAGGTTTATCCTGCTCTTCCAATTCTGGCTGTCTCTGACATCCTCAACTGTGTTGCGTATAGTTGAAACGATGCTGCCTAGGTGAGATAAGTAAAACGGATGTATCCCCTCAAATTTCTTCCCGTTAACGGATATTCGTACTGGTTGTTATTTTTTAATAGTTATCTATCTTCTCTATGTTCACTTGAAGACTTATATTCGCTGCCTTTTCTGACAGTTATCAGCGGGGATTTAAAAAATCAAACAATTGATATTGTCATGTCTACATCTCAAACACTATTACTAATCATTACTCTAGTATCCAAAGATTCAGAGCAAAGTAACAGCCCTGACGAAATGGAAACAGATATCACTTCTTATGCTCGAAAATTAAGTTCACCTCAACAAAATTATATTGGAACTGGAAATGACACCATAAAGTTATGTACAGAAAGCGTTTAACACTATCACCTGATCACTAAGTCATATTAACCCGACCGATAGCTGCTACATTGACGTGGCGGTCGGGGTTGCATATCGCAATGACCCAACAAGCTACACTGGCTGGAACTATTGTTCCTGTAGGTCCTACCATGCCAGTCAATGAAATGCACAACAGTTAGTTTAAGCCAGCCACGTAGGAAGGTGTAGACTTCCCGACCGATTGGGGTCCTCGGGACGGTAAAAACCAATAAAGGCCGGAGACAATTGGTGATATCCCTCAAAATCGTTCTTAGTGATGGCGCAGATGCATCCACTTTTGTAACTTATAATTTCCAATGCAACTATATTGTTCTTCGATATTACTATTCCTTTTGCCTTATTTCTCTGTTTACTGTCTGTATTTTACATTTTCTTTCTCCTTTTGCTTTGTGCGCAACATCGAGTGTGGTGACTCAAACTACTGCACATCGGTGAAAAGTTCTATGTTGAAACCAGCTAGTCAGTCACGTCATATTAATCATATATAGTTCAAGAAAGACGTTCCAGTTTACAATACAAACAATTTAAAGAAGTGATCTATTATAGCACCACTGGAGTATGACTGTAGAATAAAATACGAGTTTAGCACTACGTTTGATCAAACCAATAATATTTGTCACACGACTCACTAGTTTTCAGTCACTAAGGTAGAAAGAACACGAACACACTATGCATACGATCGATTGTAAAATTCTGTTTGTATAAATAAACATTCTTACGTGTTCAGCTTATTACTGTTCTTCTCTTAGGTAGCTATTTGGTCGGTAATAACACGTGTGTGTGTGTATAGGAAACCTACAACAACAGGTCAGTACAGTCATTTTTTGAGTTTTGTACCTTTGAAATATAAACGTAACCTGGTAAAGTGTCTGGTTCATAGAGCTAGGTTAATCTGTTCAGACGACTGCCTCAATGAGGAGCTTAAGATTATTAGAGGATTACTTAGAATAAATGGTTATCCAGATAAATTCATTGAGAAAAATATGAATTCAGCACCAAAGAGAGTCAGTATGGCTACAGTTCCGAAAAACCAATGTTCATAAAATTGCAGTTCCTCGGTGACAACATCAGCGAAATAATAACACAGCGCCTGAAGAACGCAGTTAAAAGAGCTTATTATGCAGCAGAGATACGTTGTCTCTTCACAACCACACCTATTCTAAGTTCAAGTAATAAGGATAAGCTACCTAAATTCGCCTCTTCTATGTGTATCTACCAGTTTGACTGCAGCTGCGGAGCCAGCTACATTAGGCGTACAATTAGGCAAGTTCATCATCGTATTTCCGAACATCCTCCGACGTGGTTAAGCAAGGGACAAACAAGATCTATTTGTAGTTCTATTTTAGCCCACCTCGTTGATACTGAGCATAAGGTTGATGTGAATACTGCATTTAAAATTATTTATCGCATTCCAACTAATCTTAATTTTGCTCTACAAGTTCGTCTTCTACAGACAGCTGAAGCAACCGGAAGCCACCTGGAGAAGTCAAGCCTATATATGTTCAGAAGAAATTTGTACAGCCACTTTCCTTACCGTGGCCATCGTCACAAGAATGCATAAACAGGACTACGCCGCCCCCTCCCCCTAAACCTATAAAACTTATAATTGTCTAAGTTATCTTATTTTTTATTTATTTATTTTGTCCACTTCATCTTTAATTACGTGTTGACCTTGTAAAATTAATTTATTCTAACCATTTCTACCTTTTAAATGTGTATTGATTTTCTTCATTCATTATCAACCCATTGACATTTTGACACTGTTTGATTTTTGTTAACAAACTTATCACCACTTGATTGGCAAACTATTGCGTATTGTAATAAAAATGCTATATATATATTAGAGTAAAGCCAGAGATGAGGATCTAACTGAAAAGTAAATATTTCTTCACTCAATCTTTCTGTTTTCTAAATAACACGCGTGTATATCTCTCAACAAATCAGTCAATTATTGCAACTCACATACCAAGTCTATAATGATATCCGTACACCTTAGTCTTAACTTCAATGAAATGTGCTAACTGAATGGTATTTGGCAATAATTATACCAATACAACAAACAATATACTAGTTAGTTAGTTAGGTAGATTTCAGCTAAGCGGACCAGATTTTCCACGTAACAGGTCATAAGGTATACTTAACAGTAGGAAGGCTGGTGATTCTATTCAGATGACCAGGCTGAAATAGGTGGGGCTGGATTCCAACTCAGAACTAACTGGCTGAGAGTCGAGTGTTTAGGAGTCAGCAGGCCACATCTTCTCAGCATGAGAAACCACCAGCTCTAGTTGTTACACAGCACTGTATCAAAATATGTCTCAATTAACTCAAGTCAATATGAACGACTGTAAGTCGTCTTCTGTCTAGAATGAATATTATGTATATATATAGAGAGACGGTGAAATTGTTTTTAAAAACAAAAAAATTAGTGTATTATCGGCACCAAGAGATGTACAAAATAAAACCACAGTTTGTGTGATGACTGGAATATTGCCCAGACGCCCATGACCAAAGCAAATGGCGGCTGTCTTAAGGAGTCACCCATTGAACTTTTGGCTTGAAGTCTAATCCGCAAATCATTGGAGCAGAGTTCCCATATTTGACCAAAACAGGTTCATATTCCACATTCGATCCGTTTGGATTCTGGAGTCCATGTACACCATATGGTTTGGAATCAGGATTTTCCAGCTGTCCTACGTAAACCTGTATGTCCACTAGCCCGTTTGTAAGCATCAGATGTTCGCAGTCGGCCTTTCACTTTTGTGAGAAACATCCTCGCCACGTGGATGCAATCAATAGGACTTACGTGGCAGAGGCTATGATCGCATGAGAGGGTAAGAATTATTGAAGGAATTCCAGGAAGTTAGAAAAAAACCCAACTATGAATAGACAGTTTATAAAAAGGCAAACAGTTTCTCCTACTTTTCATGAACCTTATCTCTTTTAAACACGTAGAGTAACGATTATTATTACTATTATTTCGAAAATTCAAATCAGTTGTCGGATATGTTAGGTAACCAACCAACTGTCTAAATTGTTGTAATTGTGTTAGGTGATAAAATAAATCAATGAAACAGTTTCCGTTCACACAGACGCTTACGCACATGCACACAAAACCTGTACCTGAATTGATTTAGAAAAAATAACAAATTTTCACAAAACAACGTATATGCATGTATTATGTGTAGATGTATAAATACATTTCAACTGAAATCTAATATTAAAAATAAACTGTACAAAAAATGGATCCTGTAAACTGTGATCAGTTTTTATTTTAACACTTCTTTTTCCTCCTCAAACACACATACACGTGCACACCCAAAAAACGTGTTCTTTATTTTAAATGCACAATTTATTTGAGTGTGCATGTTGTGTATTTGACGCGTATGTGTTAGTAACACACGATAATTGAAATGGCCGTTCATCACATACACTTTGATTTGATTACAGGTCGACAAAACAAACAAACAAACAAAAAAAGATAAGAAAACAAGAAACATTTCACCGATCAAAAATGCAGTGTAGTTGATAAGACTTCAGCAATATCATCCATAATCTAAAATACAAAGACACAAAAAGTAAGTGATTAAACTAAACAACAGATGAATTTAATTGATTGTTATATGCAATTTAGTTTATAAATTAACAAGGAAGCTTAGCTTGAGTCCTTCATCCGACCTAGTTTATTATTATTATCATTACAAAAGCTGAAATAAAGTAGCAGGATGCAGCAGAGTGAGAGTTAACACAACACTGTGTAGGTGTGGCTTATTGAATCACATGATAATGACCTTGAACAACACACACACCTCTACCTACCTATTACTACAATCAGGATATGATAAACATTTTTACAAATTAAACCTTAATCACAGCAATTACGGACATTGTTTTGTTTTTGTTGATCAGAATAAATTAAAGGGAGGTTTCTCATGTTGTTAGGCGCTTTCACATATGCTTTTACATCTACATAATATCATACAATTCAGAGACATTACCAATAACTTGATAGACTGGGGAATAGGTTTAGCATTGATTATTTTGAATTGTCAATGTAAGATACTTCTAAGCTAATTGTTTCACCACTTGTGTTCAAGGTTATCAGGAAACGCAATAACCTGTTTTATTATTATTGCTCCCTTGGGTTCCTAGTGGAACATAGGGCTTCAACTGCACGTCTCCATTTGCTTCTGTCTTCTGCTATACTTTTCGCCTGCATCCATGTTAGTCCATATTCTTTCAACTCCTCTTCACACGATCTCCTCCATGTCACCCTTGGACGTCCCACTCGCCGCTTCCCTTTCGGGTTCCACTCGAGCAATGGCTTGACGCGCGATGTCACCCAGCGGTCTCCTCAGCAAGTGTCCGATCCATCTCCACTTTCTCCTGCATATTTGTTGGGCAATTGGTTCTTGCTTTGTTTGTCCCCATAATTCCTTGTTGGTGATTCTTTCCGGCCATCTGATCTTCAGTATTGAGCGAAGACAGTTGTTAATAAAGGTCTGAGTTAGCCTGTTGGAAATATTCTTTGTGACCCACCAAGTTTCTGATCCGTATAGGAGAACTGACTTTACGTTTGTATTGAAAATCCGAATTTTGTTGGTGATGCTGAGTGACGAAGATTTCCAGGTTGATTTCAGACTGATGAATGTGTTTCTCGCCTTCCCGATTCTCGATTTGACATCATCGTCCGCTCCTCCTGTAGTTGAGACAATGCTCCCTACATAAGTGAATGAATGAAGTAACCTCTTTCAAATCCCTCCCGTTGATGGTGATTGACGTTGGATGTTGTTGCTGTTGTTGGTTGGTTATTTTCATAATCTCCGTCTTGTCTATGTTCACCTGGAGTCCTGTCTTCGCCAGCTGCTTCTTCGACCAGTTTGTCGGTTTTCGCTTGTAAGTCTTCGATTGTGTGTGACATCAAACATAAATCATCCACGCGCGAAATCCAGGTCTTCTATGTTCTTCACGTCGGTCAGTCCAGGATATCCCTGTCTTCTCGTTTCCCACTGTCTGACGCATAATCCAGTCCACCACAATTAGGAATATCATTGGTGATAGTGTGGTGAGAGCAGGCTGCTAGCCGATTGGTTGACACTAATTTACGTTAATGTCTAGGTCACTAATATGGGCCGTGAGAAAATATGAACAAGGCTGTTTCAACAACCAATCACAGCAAACTTAAATGTGGACAAATATGATTCGCAGATAGATGGCTCTACTTTCCGAGAAATATCGAAAACAACCAATCATAAGACTGTGTTTGTCTGCTTAACTTCCGAGAAACAACCAATCAGAAGACTGCCTTTTTCTGCTTGCATAAGCCTTATTAATGCACATAAAATATATATAAATACGTGTTGATTTTCGTAATAAAACGATCTGTTGCCAGCCCTTGTCTTCTGTTGTTACAATAGTAAGCACCCTTGTCTGACTCCTGTGTTTACTCCAAACGCCTCGCTGAGTCTTCCGTTGTGGATCACTTGACATGTGCCGCGGTTGTCGTACAGCTGTTGAATAAGGTTGATGAATATTTGGGGTACGCCATAGTACTCGAGTAGTTTCCAAATTACTTTGCGATCAACGCTGTCGAAGGCCTTTTCAAAGTCTATAAAGTTGAGGTAGAGGTTTGATTGCCATTCCATGCTTTGTTCTATGATGATGATGATGCGTAGAGTTGCAATTTGGTCAATACCTGTTTTAGTTGTTTCAATTTTTCACGCTTGGAATTGGACCATTTGAATCAGTCATGTTGTACAGAAGTTTTAAACGTAGGATGAATTGATAATAGTGTGGTGAGAGCTGGCTGTTAGTAAAAATTGGTGGACAGCATTGTACGTCGATGTTTATCTCTCCAATATTGGTCGTGAGAAAAATGAGAACAAAGGCTTTGCGTAGGCGGATACAGTTAACATATAGATGATCTGACATTCATGAAACTAGCCACAAAGAGATGCAAGGTTAACTTTCTGTGAGAAACAACCAATCAGAGGACTATGTTTTTCTGCTAACAATAATCTATAATATGTACATGAAAATCTATAAATATGTATTGATTTCCTTAATCAAGAATCTGTTTCCTGGCCCTTGTCTTCTGTTGTTACAATAGAAGTAGCTTATTCAGGCTGAATTAAACAGAGCAATATTTAAAACTAGGATTCCATGAGCATGAATTGATTGTCAAAGTCAATAAGAGACATTTCGGTATAGAATCATTTGGAAAGAAGAAACGCTTTGACTACAGAGACATTTTTTAATTTCGAAAATAAAACGTTCTTTCAATAATTTAATAATTGCCATTGCAGCATTAAGAACACAATATTCAGCGAAGAGACTCTTTTCAACGAATTTATCATCGATTCCTGTCACTCTGCCGACCCTGAACATGATTTTAAGATCATCTACAAATTCCATGCTAACTTGCCACGTCCTCTTCGTGACAGACTTCTAAAGACAGCGGAGGCCTTGGACATAGAGGGATAGACATTTATTTATTTATGTATTTTGTTTAATTAGTTATTCTATGCACCTTTTCCTTATTACTACTATTATTATCATTATTACTATTCTCACTCTGAATTGTTTCCACTGGTCCCATTTGTCATTCTAAATCCAAAATTGTTATTTTTTATTTTTACAATGTTGAATTCTATCTTATCAAATTTTACACCACATTACGTAACGTCTTTTAGATGCTTACTAACTCTATAATTATACACCCCTTTCCAACATCTATACATCTTATGTATTATTCTATATATGACATTAATTGTTTTGCTACTTGACATTTAACTATGATTACAATCAGAAATATTTTAATTGCATTTCATGTGTTCACACTTTTGATCTAGTTCGCTCACCGGATGTAATTTTTTAAAAACCGTATATATACGATTGTACAGCTTGATAATAAATTCGTTGAAAAGAGTCTCTTCGCTGAATATTGTGTTCATAAAACATTCTACCCATGTATTTTTCGATTATAGCTTGACTCCACACAGTATTTTTGGTACAAGTATGGAATATTCAGCATGTGATGTCGGTAGCCCAATTTTGCAGACTGACCACTGATATCGGATGTGCGTCGGTAGGGAATTGAACCCCTGATCATGTGCGTGGTCGGCGAGGGTCCTAACCTCTGTGCCACAGACGCACAGAAGAGGTGTAGTAAACTAATCTCTATTATAATTAATATACTATGCAGAATGATTTCATAAAATATAAACTTATGAAATGTACCATAATTTATTCATTATCATAAATGTAGTTTATAAGAACTGCTGAAGTTTAGTGTTCACTTAATATGTCCTCAATTTGAAATGCGCAGTAGCACAATTGATTAAGTCAGATTCATCCAAGAAAAACTAACTAATTGTTGACCCAGTAATAACATCACTATTATTTACTAACCCCTTGAGTTCCGAGTGGGACAAAGGGGTTGGACAACACACCTCTACTTTGTCCTATTTTTTGTTTTCCTCTTCAGTTGGGTCCAAGATTACCCCTAATCTCTCACCTCCACCTCACACAATCTTCTCCATGTCATTCTAGGATGGCCCATTTGTCGCTTCCTATTTAGATTCCACTCGACGGCCTGGCGTGCGGTCATTCAACGCCTCATCAACGTAGGCCCAATCCATCTCCATTTTTTCCTAAATATTTGTTGAGCAATAGACTCTGGGTTGGTTTGTTCCCATAGTTTCTTGTTGCTAATTCTTTCTGCTTGATAATTTGATCTTCAATATGAAGTCAGAGAAAGCAGCTATTGATAAAAGTCTGCAATGGCTTGTTGGAAATCCTTTTCATGACGTCAGTGCTATGTCTTTGACCCCCATATAGAAGAACTGACTGACTTGAAATTTGTGTTGAAAATCCAAATTTTGTTCTTTATACTGACTGAGTGCAGAAGATTCCTGAACCGATTCCAGATTGGTGAAGGTATAGCTTGGTTTTCTGATTCCGGTCTTGAGACTTTCACCCGCCCCCAACTCGTGTAGGTGAAACAATGCTTTCTAGATAAGTGAAGGAAGTAGCCTTATCCAAGCTCCTCCTGATGATGGTGAATGCTGTTGCTTGGTTATCTTCATCATCTCCGTCTTTTCTATGTTCACCTGCAGTCCTGTCTTCGCTTCCAGCTTCTTCAGCCGATTTGTTGGTTTTCACCTGCAAGTCTTCGAGTCTGTGTGACACTAAACATAAATCACCCGCGGAATTCAAAGATAACATAATCAAACAATATTACAAAATTTTTTAATAAGAACTATATGGTCATTTATTTAAACCTATTGACGTTATATAGAGAATGAAACAAACGACAGTACACCGTAGAATTTCCTTTCATATTCATTGAACAATCATTATTATTATTATTATTATTACTACTTACACTTTCCAAGCTTTGACCAGATTTTTTAGCTATCTCTAAACGCTGACAATGAGGTAGCGTGAGATATCGCCAAATCAAATCACCGTCTGCAACTTTTCCACATGGATTTGCTAATTCTGGCTGAGGACGATGATATGACCTAAGAGGACAGTAAAATATTTACTCAAATGTTTAAGATTAAATTATACGTGCTGAAATCAAATTAAAGATAAATATTAAATTAAATATTTTGTCTGCATATAACAGTGGTGCAAAAAATAAGTGAACATAGTTTTTCACTAATCTATGAAATAACGTCAGATCACATAAAGACAATCAATATCATTCTGCTAACAAAAATGCAATACGCAGAACATAATACTGTCTGTTACATTACAAAAAGAAGTGATAGACATTGTTCCTCTGCTTTTAATTACCTCTTAACTCGGTATTAAACACACTGAAATCAACCGATCCTCCAACACACAGCACTGCATAATTCAAGTTGACACAGTTCATAAAAATACAAAAAGTTAGAAGAAATGTGTGGGAGAGAGGATTATTTTTATTCCTCTGCGTCTTGAGTGGAACATAGGGTTTCAAGCTTGATCTGTTAAGTTTTATTAGAAGTGATGTTGCTTTTAGAGAATAGGATTGTTATCCTCACACTTAACCTTCCCTAATCATCCGGTTTACTACCAGCTATGTGAGGTTTAGGTGTACGTAAACGAGGATCGAACTGCGGACCACGTTCCTGTTTGACGAGTATTCTACGCCTGAACCACCGACACACAAAAGAATGATGAGGTTTTAATGAATCCAAAAAATAACAAAGAATGAATACATTCATATCAGTGAAAGCGATTTTAAGCAATGTCATCAACTGTCTTCATCTATCGGTCATCAGCGTCTCGTTGACTGTAGCCAGGCGGCCTATACTTTTCTTCAAGGCTCGAGGAAGCAATCTAAGATTCTATGGATTGATGTTTGGTTTTGTTCTGACCACTTCTAATTCTTTTCAAACCTACCTCTCTATCAGCTAAAATTGTTCGTCAAGGACGGTAATGAATCGGCATGCGAAACACATGTCCTAACCAACACAATCGATGTAGTTGAACAACGTCATCGCTTGACTTGCTCTCCCTGACCTGTCACTCTATGCCTCAGATACAACAACCACTGCCCTTGTGAACTATCCCAGTTTAAACTTAAGTCTTTGTCGTAGCCAACCCCATTTCTGCCAGTGGGACTGAGTTTACAGACAGTGAAAAGTTTCTTATTTTGGTAAATTTCAGGCAAAATTAGTATTTGTGATGATGAAAGAAAAGTCAAATCAGAATAAAAACGATGGATATTCACATGCCCATCAGATTACTGATTAGATAACCAGTAAAAATACTTAGGCGACATTGACATTTGTATCACATACAGAACCTAGTTACATGAGCATCAAATTTTGTCGGGTAAGTGCAGTAACCCGCCTTGGTTAAATGGACTGGAATTCTTCAAAAAATAGCGATAAGCAAAACAATCATTCATGTTGATTTCTCCTAAGAAAAATAAATATCACGCTCAAATATTTATTTAATACATCTCATATTACCACAAAAACATCTGTAATCATATAGAATTCATCACCTCTTTCGTTGACTAATAAAAAATACGCCTAATTACATTGATACTATATAACTGAATCACCTATTATTGATTAGTCAATAATTATAAAACTGTTAACTACAATACAATACATTCTTGTAAAAAGAAATAATCAACTTAACTGACGCGATTTAAAGGTGAGGAAAAATAGAGAGGGAGAGAGATAGGAAAGACTTACCAACAAGATTTTGGCGCCATACCGCATACTGGTCCAAGATGATGAATTAAATTCTTCTCAGTTATGCGTAAACGGCTATACATTTTATCACGAATAGGACCGATACGATAAATAGAACCATTTTGAGTGCCTAGAATATTTTGGAAAATAACAATAGCTTTATTCCTGACAATATGTCAACATATAGTACAGAAGTATCAGCGTATTTAAATTACAAAATATGCACCACTTTATACCGGACCTTCTTCAAGTAAGATACTATTCATTAATACATTGTGTGACATTGTACTGTACTGTACTGAAGCGATATCCAATCCTTCAAGTTATTTTCTTCTCATTTCCCCTGCATTATGTTGACAACAAACTAAAAAAATGTGAGTTCATGTAGCGATTCAAAAATACAATTAGATGATTAAAACAGTAAGAACGATGGAGAAGAGTATAAGTATTATACTGGATAGGCTGGATTCAGGAGAAACAAGTCATGTATTGATCTAATCGCCATACTACGGATCATCACTGAACAAAGCTTGGAATGACAGCCACCTCTCCACCTCATTCAACTTCATTGACTTTGAAAAGGCATTTGACAGCGTCGATTGAGAGATCATTTGGCAACTACTTCGCTACTACGGGGTGCCATCGACAATTATACATCTCATCCAACAGTTATACGACAATGCTGCATGCCAAGTAGTCACAACAGGAATCTCACGGAATCCTTCGAAGTGAGGACGGGAGTGATGCAGGGCTGTCTACTATCGCCAATGATTTTTCTGATTGTGGTAGATTGGATAATGCGACAGACAACGGGCAATGAGGAAACAGGCATAAAATGGACTCACACAAAGAACTTGGAGGATCTGGACTTCGCCAATGTGATGTATACGTCTGATTTCCCACAAACTGGAAGATATGCAAGTGAAAAGCAACAAGTTGGCAGAAGAATCATGCAGAGAAGATAGAACTTCAGGTGAACATAAAGAAAACAGAGGTGATGAAGATTCCTGGCCAACAGCAACAGGCAACAATCAGCCAGCATGAATGGGAGGAACCTGAAAGAAACAACCTCCTACACCAACCTACCTGGGAGGCGTCGTCTCAACTACAGGCGGAACTGACGAGGATATCAAAGCCAGAATCGGAAAAGCAAGACAACCTTTCATTACTCTCAAGTCTGTGTGGAGGTCAACAGAACTCAACTTGAAAAATAAGATCAGGGTTTTCAACTCCAATGTGAAGTCAGTGCTACTTGCTATACGGATCAGAGACTTGGCGGGTCATAAAGAGCATCTCAAACAAAATTCAGACCTTCATTAACAGTTGTCTTCGCTCAATACTCAAGATCAGATGGCCGGCCAGAAAAGATCAGAAACAGGGATCTCCGGATAGGAGCGAACCAACAGAGAAGGAACTGATTGTGCAATAAATAGCAGGAAGAAATGGAGATGGATTGGCCATACTCTGAGGAAACACTGCATCGAGTGGGATCACTAGACAAGCCATTGTTCGAGTGGAATCCGAAAGGGAAGCGGCGAGTTGATCGTCAGTGCGAGGATGGGGTGACTTGGAGGAGGTCATGTGAAGAGGAGATGAAAGCATGCAGGCAGACTTGGAGTGGAGTGAAAACGTTGGTGGAGAACCGAACGCAATGTAGACGCGCAGCTGAATCCCTATGTTCCTCTAGGAATTAAAGGAAATAATAATAATACTGGATAGAGATTTAGGTAGATCATCGATTTTGAACAAGCCACCTGTCTTTCAATACGAAGGAGATAAAGAACTGGGCAGAGAAATACTTACATTTGCTATTCAAAAGGTAAGTAGAAAGATACAACAACGACAAGGAGGAGGAGAAGGAGTGAAAAAAAACCCCAGCAAAACACGCACCTGTAGGTATGAGTTTATCCGCTCATAAAAAATCTTCTACTATCCAGTATAGGCCTCAAATACCAAAGTTTTTTTTAAGGAAAAATTAGAAACCTAAAAGATTCCAATTAATCCGAGGCAAAAATCGAACATGTTGCGAAGACAATCATAGACACTGATTGACTGAAGACCTCAGGATCCGCAAAGTCATTCTCCGCAGTGTAGATGCATTTATTGTAATCTCTTAGATCCACTGAATCCTCATATTTTTCCATGCTACTATTCTTTCTCACTTGTATTTCTGCTCATTATAATAGTTCTGTTGATTCTCTTCTTTTTCCCTTTTTCCTGTACACTTTGTGTTCTACATGAAGTGTGGCAACTAAAATTTACCAAAGTAACATCTCAATAGAAGTAAACTGCGCCGACATTTCATAACCTTCAGTTAACATAAACTTCTTCAATACAATTGCTGCTGTTTTCCAGTTGAGAGAAGCATTAATTACTTGAGCTATTATTATGCATTCATCTGTGCATTTAATACGAAGATAATAAAAAACCGTAGTGTAGTGCAATTCACACAACATGCTCAATGTGCATCATTTAGGGATTAGCGACAAATAAAAAAAAAATTCACGGTAAAAATAATTTGATTAATCCTAAAATATACAATGTGTTCAAAGGTGACTGGGGTTATATAACAAAGTTGTTTCAATGACATCAGTTAATTAAGATGTTGAACATGAGGCGTGTGTGTGTGTGTCCACGTTTCACTCGTTGTCAATGTCTTCGAAACCCTACCCCTCTTAAATATTTATTGTAGCCTAAGTAACGAGTTAAACTACAGACAACACATGAGAGAATACATTGTAATTTGTTTTTTTTAAATAGGTCAATCCATTCAGACATAAGACGATTAAAGGTGACAGATAAGCACAAAAGTACACTCTTAGAAGAAGAGGTGAAAAAAATAGCTCATTTTGTTCCTAGCACATTTTATAATATGACTGAGTGTTAGTCAATTCAATATTAATAGAACAATAAAACAATCTCAGGTTATCGATCTTAAGAATTTATGAAACTGTGTAAAACAAGAGCATTTGCAATAAAACAGTGCTAAACTGAGTCGTTTTTTTATACATATGATATTTACTGTATTCAATGAAATTAACATGGAGGACTAAAACTCTTATTTTTTTGTTTATAGACTATCAGTATAAGGTGTGTGTGTGTGTGTGTGTATACACACGTTAGCTAGCCTTCATTTCACTTTTAACCTAGTGAAGACAGACTATGGGACCAAAGAGACCAAGTTGTACCCATCAACCAAAAGGATGTACACATTCAAACAATATTAATGAAAGACATTAAGTGATGTAAAAGGGATATTTAACATAGAAGGAAAACTAATTTTAAAGAAATATATACCTAGGTAAGATGATCCACATTTTTGCTCATGAAAACAGTCAAAGGATTTCAAAAACACATACATTTTGTTACGCCATCCACCTTTAACTTGGTTTCAACCTGACACTATCTCAAGTAAAGGTAACACTAAAGGTAGACTTTACGGAGAAATCCAAGAAATGAAAGATGCAACCCAATTACAATTCAGAATAATTGATTGAATTCTTATGGTAAGCATATAAATAAAAGCTCTTATTGCGTTACAGTTACTGCATCCCCACATTTACTACATAAGATAACTTATCACACTAACTAGCCGAGTATGTTTAAAGTGATTTTCTTGATTTCATCACGAATTGACATAAACTGAATAAAACACTGGAGACCAGAGGATCACTGATCAGCTGTGTTCTTCAATAGTTACTACACAACTCCACCAAGGATCTAACTAACGACATTCAGGCTACAAGATAGGCAAGTTGCCATTCAATTCCACATTAATTTGTTTATTAGGTATATCACACCGTGAAACAGACTTAATTACTGGATGACGAAGTTCTGAACACAATTTATTGTTCATAATTATGCCAGTTATAATCACACGACTTCGAAACTCGAGTTTTACAGTTTTCTTTATTCTTTCCTATTTGTCTCAAAGGCAGTAAAAATTTTCCAGATATCTGAGACAGTTGTTGAATCGTTCCTATTACATGTATTGCAGTTGATTCGATAACACAAAGCTTCTGTTATCAATCTCTTCCTCCCCCCCCTCTTACATTAGATTTTAAAACTGTCATCTTATCCCATACTATTGTGTGGTTGTGTCTAATTGCAAGTGGTGGGTGCTATAGCTGAACTATTCTCTAGATTTCTTATCTTTGTCGGATCAACCAATCTAGATTTTGCTAGGCTTTTATGTTCGGTTAGTCTAACTGCCCCTGTCCTACTACTGTGACTTGACAGTCATCCGAGCATGGTATTAGATAAACTAAATTGTTTTGTTTTAAAGGCTCCACAGGATCCTTTAACCGACAAAGCTTGTTTCTAATTGAGTTTGTGGGTTTAGATACCACTTTTATTCCTGCCCTGTTAAGAATTCTGCGTAAGATATCCGAGGTTCCTTCTTTGTATGGAATTACTACTGATGATATAGAATCCTTATTGTTGTTGTCATTATTCTGTGAATGTTTGACATGCATTTCGTAATAATAATTGTTATTATCACTATCACTACTATTATTTTATTTTTACATTTTCCTACATACTTCCTCATTAATTTATCACGGTGATTAGAATTGATATGATTATGGACAACAAACTGTGTTCAAAACTTCGTCATCCAGTAATTAATTCTGTTTCACTGTGTGATATATCTAATAAACAAATTAATATGGAATTACATACTACCACAGTGTCAAAGTTTTACACATATTGGTTGGAGGATTTCATCTTGAGCTGAAGTCAGTTGGAGAATGATTGGAAAACTAGCAGGGAGTACTGGACAGCTGTTTCGTCCCATTTTGGGACTCTTTATCAGTACGCACTCACCACCAGGGTTCGAATCCATGACCTTCTGGATACAAGGCGAGCTAGCTCGTAGACCATTGAGCCACTGGGACACGATCCAATGGCCCATGAATTCTAACTTCTGCCAATTCCGGACAGGGTGCGACCACTTTGCAATGCCTTCTTTGATGAGTTACTGCCTCACCTTTTACAGATATTATGTTACCATTCAGTCACTTAATTACCACTCAAGATTTATCATATTTCCAAGAGGTATAAAACAATTCCAGAAAACAAATGGACATTCAATATGTCTGTTGGATGAAATGAAAGCGACCCTTATACACAGAAGGAATAAGATCAAACAGTCCGAGTAGGATGTTAAGCTACATGCACAAATTTTAGTTAACCTCTCCATGAGGTTCTACAGTTATAGGTTCATAATAAATAAAGAATCACTATTATTGCTATGAACAACATTAAAGTTTTAAATAACACTGAGTCAACAGTATCAACAGATTACAGTTCATGTTCAGAAACGCTTACTAGTGTGGGTAAATAAATGTGCAGTAAGAACCATCAACGGTTCGATATTAAGCCACCTTGTCCAAACAGACCATAAAGCTATCGGTTACCAAATAAATTGACAAAAACCTCTAGGTACCGAATACTCTAAACAGTAGAGGTCATAGTAATTCACCAAAAAAATCGGAGCTATATGCGCAAAAGAAACAGATCCAGCCACTATTGTTATCCTGGACTATTGTAGTACCAATAATCCTTCAATCCCCTATTATTTTCCTTAATTTCTCCGATATTCAATTTGGCGTTCTGTTGATGCGCATTATCACTTACATGTGGTTCTGTAATGTAATCTCTTTATATGCCTGATACAATGTTAATTAAAACATTGGTGTTGTTAATAACAATAGTTTCTTAATTATTATGGATACATAAGTATAGAACCTGGATGAAGTTACCGAAAAGAACATTCTTTGTTCACTAATCAGTCTTTTTATATATTCCTTTACGTTCCCAGTGGGACATAGGGCTTCAAGCTAAAGGCTTGAAGTTTCGGTAGCAGTGGTATTTATTTTCACGGGATGAGGTTGCTAGACTCATGCCCAACTTCCCTTCTTTAGCAGTCTTATTACTGGTTTATCAAGGTAAATAAATGAGAAGGCAGGGGATCGGATCCCGAACCACCTGTGTGGTTGGAGAGCATCCTACCGCTGTGCCACCGACTAATTAGTCTTTTAGAATTTTTAATGGACATCTTCAATCAAATAAATTGTAGTTTCCAAAATTTACTGAAGAAATCCAGTTGTTGTTATTCCACTTTTATATACAGAAAAGGGAAAATAAAAATATTTTTAGTGGTAAACAAAGTCAACTGTGAATAGGTCAATAAATTTATCCACTAAAGAGAAATAATGTGTGTGTGTGTTGTACAAACTTATACATTTAAAACGTGTGCTCCGTGTTTCAGTAATAGAATGCTGGTGGTCGGGACTCCATTCTAAACAGACGCATTTCTAAAACTCGTCTAGTTTACTAACCGACAGTAAGCTTGGAAAAGAGGGCAGATTGAACGTGAGGTAGAAACAGTGCCTCCAGTACCGCAACTTTAAAAACTTGAGGTTCTCTACATTCCCCCCAGAAAGCAGAGGAGTGGAAAAATAATACATCTAATGCAGTGAGTTAGTAATCAGTTCAATACTCAATGACATCTCGTCTTCTCCATTAAATGGTATAAAAACACTTGTTAGATGTTTAAGAGAAGTCAGTTGGCGGTAAATTCTAGGCATAGGTTTTGTACTATTAAGGACTTATTATAAAGATATATTTGCAAACTCAACAGGCCTCACGTTCATTCATTATTCGAATTCACATTAATAATTACATACTGCTTAGTTCTACGTGAAAAGCAATTAGTAAATAAAGCTAATTATAAAGTTAGCATAAATCAAACTAACCAAAATAAATTGACTGTCTAAATTTTTCAGGATCAACGCCAGGATTTAGATTGTTTGTTATTTGTGAATCAGCTGTTGACTGTTGTTGTGATTGTTTCACAGTGTCAGAACTAGTGGTTGGATTAATCGTAGAAGATCCAGTTACTGTTGTTGTTGTTGTTGATGATGATGATGACGATGAAGGTTTCACAGACAGAAGTGCATGTCTTAAACGATTTGCTACACGAAGTGAACATGTTGCACGTGATGGTAAACGTACATCTGCACAACGAACAAGACGTCTTCCACAACGACTTGTAGGATCTAATGGATCATAAGCGTAGATAGCTACATTTCCAAGTTCATCAGACACTACATGAGAAGTGTGAAACATGCAAAAGTAAAGAGAAAACATGTTTATAATAAAAAGAAACTTTAAAAACTTCAGTCTTCCATTATGTAAACTACGGATGACAAACAGTGTTTGAAAAACAAATAGATTCTAAATAAAACATCTACGCATGTATAAAATCTCCTGGCATTTGAGGAGTTATGCGAAGTTCAATTCTTAATTATATTTTAGCCAAATAGAAGATTGTTCAGCTCCTTAAATTCTCAAGTGTTCGTTTGCAGAGATCTGATAGGCTCCATGTTAGATCAAGAACTGATATCACTTAGAAAACTAGGGAGTACTAGACAACTTTTTCATCCTAGTTAAGGACGGACCATTAAGTTCTATCTCACTGGTTGGATGTTGACGTGCTCGCCTCGTAACATGAGGCTTTTGGATTTGATCCCTCGCGAGGTGATCTGACCATGAGTTCATACTGATGTAGAATTCCAAATTAGTAGGACATAACCACCAACTACTACCTGGATTTCAGCGGTTTTCTAACTGATATCAGTTCGTAATCTAAATGAAATATTACGTAGTGACCTCTGAATATACAATGTGGTTACAAAAATGATAATTAGAAACCGGGGTTGGAGGTAGAGTATGTGATCATGGATGCGTACTAAGCATGAAATTGAAATGTGCAATCAGCCTAAATCATAATGAGTATATGAGACAGTAGCTATTTAGTTGTGATGAGATTAAATCAACTGGAATTCAAATCTGTAATATGCTTTACACTAATTTACTCCACATGTCTTATAAATGTAAGTGTTTATCAGGTGTAAATCTGTAATACAGAAATGTACAATATTTACCATAAACAACAGTCTCTATGCAAAACAAAATAAATAAACAATGAGTTTGTTTCAGCTTTCTATTAGAAAGTACAAGGTGGTGAGGCAAACACTGCAAAAAACCAAGGATCGATCTGAAGGTGAACACATTACCATTCAGTTATTGGATCTGAATTCAACATCCCATGAATTCTAACTTCTGGGAATTCAAGATATATTGGCATAGCCAACCGATGTCACCAGCGACTATCTGTCCTTACAGACAACTTAGTGGACCAACACTAGTCATATCTTTTCATGTGAACTTCAAGAAGTCTATTTCACAGCCAGTTGCTGATAAGCAGCGGATTAATTTTCAACCAAATCCCTACAAAGTAAACATTCTGACGCACTATTTAGTATAAAGGGAGGCGGATGACAAGCTCATACTTTTAATAAGATTATTGTTTTCTTGACGAATACCGTCACTGTACAATGTGTTCCGTGATACCATATCATTAAGATATTTACAACAATCTAAGCGCTAATCATTTTTCCTCTTTTCTTCCAGTTAACAAAAGGATAGATAGGAATAGCTATTGTGTCTCAACCTTGATGGAAGTGTACTTCATTATGGTTAAGTTCAATGCTCAGCGGAGTATACGAGAAAATCATTATTTATCTTCCATAATCTTGCAACAAACTGTTTTAATTCACTGATTGTAGAAAATATGTAAGAATGACAAGATTGATTGCGTTGGTAGTTCAGCGGTAGAACACTGGCTAACCACACAGTTGGTTCGGGATTCGATCCCTAGCCGACACACTTCTTTACCTCTCCTAACCGGCAGTAAGCCCAGTAAAGAGGGGGGGTAAGTTGGGCGTGAGGCTAGCGAACACAATCCCGTAAAAAAATTCCACTGCAGCCGAAACTTCAAAGCTTTAGATTGAAGCTTGATGTTCCACTAGGAACACACAGGAATTTTAAAAAAAATGATTGAGGTGTTTTGGTCGTTTTAAAACATTACAGAACAAGTCTATCAAGAATCACTTATATACAAATCATAACCAGCCAGTTGGAATTTTACTCAGTTTTACAACAAATTGAGGGCATGAGTAGTTTAGGCGTCCCTTATATAGATGACAAAATGTTTACTGAATTATTGATAACGTTATTATATATACTACTGAAAACAAAGTTCATCAGTAGGAAAACTCATGATATTTCCTAAAGTTACAAATCATTCCCCGCATTTATATGGGCTTGACACAAGCCACACCAGTTGCTTAAGAGTTGATACTATTGGATACCCAAAACCACACAATATGGATGAGGGGATTGAGGCTGGAAAAAGTGGTTAGAAGCTGAGTACATAGACCTATGACTCACGCATAATGAAATCAATGCCAGATCCAGTATTGATGTCATGAGGATAAAAGTGAAAAGAAATCGATTTTCTAAACACATATAAGCATGCACACAAACCTTAAATAACAATCACTTACCCATAAAGCCTAATCGTCGACCGTCTACAAAAAAGTTGGAGGTATATACTTCTCTTGCGATACTGTCTCGACTAACAACAGATAGAACGCGTAGATCTGATTGAAATCTTAACAACTGAACAGATTTTAATACATCTGCTGCTAAGATTAAATTTTTTACACATAATAAATTATGTATGTATAACTCTGAGTCAACAAAAGCCACACCAACAAGATCAGCATTCTTCAATGACCAAATGTAAATCTGAAAAGAATATTTTTATATTTGGAAAAAAGAAGAGTAAAGCAAAGTGTAATAAGAAAGAAACAAGATAAACTGCAATATATTGGCAAATGTTTTCATAAACGCGTATATAGTCATCTTATGTATTAGTCACAGTTGCTTACTGGTAGGTGGTAATACCTTGAAATCACATCTATGAAGGATAAATGTCTGACAAACTGACTGATTAGAAGAACAATTTAAAGATAAATAGATTCTGAGGTGTAATTTCCCCTTAGATAAAATATATTTAAATACGTATATTTAATTTCCATAATCCTATTAATGACATCAAGGCTGAGAGTATGAAAGTTATGCTGACCAACTGACTGGCTTCAACGTAGGACTTTGCACACATGTGCACCATTTCGAGTTGTCACACTCCATATAGCACACAAAGCAAGAGAAGAAAGGAAAAAGAAATTCAGAAGAGATAATAAACAGAAATATGAGGGAGAAAGAATAGTAATATCGAAGAACAACATAGTTTTGTTGGGTATTATAAGTCACAAAGAGTGAGTGCATCTGCCCTAGGCATTGACAACAATTTCGAGCCATATCACCAATTGTCTCCTACCTTCGTTGGTTTTCACTGTCCCGAGGATACCAACCAGTCAGGAAGTCTACACCTTCCTACGTGGCTGGTTGGCCGGCTTAAACTAACTGTTGTGGATTTCGTTAGCTGATGAAGTCATGTTTTGGTTTGACTGTCAGTGGCCAACTCCTCTCCAACCTAACCCTATGTCAGCTAACATTGCGCACTGTCGAAGAAGGTGACGGCAAGACAGGCATACGTAACACATATCCTAACCCTTCAACTCAGTCGATGTAATTTCACAGTCTCGTCGATTGATTTCCCCTCCTTATCTGCCTAGTACTCAACCGAAGCCTAACTTAAATAGTGTTCACCCTATTATACCACTTCACACAGACGGGAGATGGAACGCAAACAACTGATCAAAAACGGCTAGCCGGCCTTTTTATGTCTTCCACTATCAATGGCCAGGTCTCGCTCACAGTCATAAAGGAGGATGGAGTGGACTGCTGAGCAGAACACACGCCCAGACGGATATAAAATAGACGCTACATAATATTATGAGTGATTAAAAGCTGGTTATATTGAAACAATTACTAGCACATACAATAGAAACAATGAACTGTGTATTTTATTAACTTAATTCGTTAGAACTCTTTCTCTGTCCAAGGTCCATCAAACATGTGAAACGTGCTTTTAGATCACCTTGATAATGCTGATAATTACTACTTTCAACTGTGGAGTAATAACTCATAATCTATACGACACGAAATTTAATATCTTCATTCTTCTTCAATAATCTTATTTATTTTCTGCGTAGATTTCGTCGCAAACCAACGTCAGCTAGAGAATCGTTGAACACCAAAAAACGGTTTCATATTAATTTGGGGGCTTTTCAGCACTGTACACCCCACTAGGGATGAACTTCACATCATTGACTATTTAGCCACTTGAGCTGACATTTCAATTCTAACTTTGTCACTGTACGATACAGAGCTACCTCAAAGGAAAACCACTGACGAGAATTCACTTCATCTAAACGCAGTGGACCCAAATAGCCATGACTTCTTTTTAGAACTTCAGGACGTCCATCAAGTAGCTGCCAAAGTCCTGAGGATTTACATTTAGATTATGGGTTTTGTAAGGATTTGGAGTGATATCAACGTAGGTCTCTTAAAGCAACCAACATCCGGTAAAGTGAAAAGAATGCTTATCGACTGGACTGCCCGACAGTTGCTCTCTATCATGAATGAACAAAGTTGATATATACAGGTAATCGAATTCGAGCCTAAGTTGGTGAATGGACAACAAGTCGGTCTCGTAACTTGGAGGCCTTTGTGTTTAAGTCTCAGTGGAGGCATTGGTGTGAACCGGTGAAGAGTCTAATAACTAGCACGAAACAGATGTCCAGTGCTCTGACTAATGTTGGTTTATGACAAAATATACATTGGAATAGATCTAAATTCCTAAACAACCAAAAATCTAAATTATGCATTATAAATAAAACTTTTTATAAACCAAGTGGCACAGATAAAGAATAAATTTATATATGTGCAAAGGTTAGATTTTAACTTTGACTAGTTTCTGAGTTGTTGGTATTGTGAAGTTAATAAAGCCTATACTACTCTGTCAACCATCATTATCACTATCACTCAAGACAGATTTATCATGCACCAGAATAAGAGCCAAACTTATTGTGCGAAGGCTGATGATACTAACAAACAGCCTATACTGAACTAGATGGAGCGAAACTCGAACCCGTGATCCATTCAGCTATGAATATCAAAAAAGGATGGATAGGTAGAAGGATCAACGCAGAACAGTACTAGTTGCAGTTATGACATTAAGAAACAAAACAGAAATATACATAAATAGGATGATACAGTTATAGGTGAAATTGGGTGTAGGAAGAGTAGGAGTCATTGAATGATAGCATATTAAAATAGTTTATGATTCTCTCAATGGATTAAACAAGTACACGTAAAATAAGCCTTACAGAATTAGATTGTAAGGTCTTCGAAATTCTAACGTACATGTTGCTAGGATATGTTTTGGTTAAACAATGATTTGCCTATTGTATTAAAAATAAATAAATAACTATTCAATTTTTTTGTCTTACCTTCTGTCCAATTGCACTGATCAAGTGGCCTTGACAACTAGTTAACGCAGTAACTGGTCCCTTTTGTTCACCATCATGTATTACTTTTAGTTTATGACGGGTGAGTGGTTTACCAGGCTCTGGGACTACATCAATTACATCCAGTATCAGAATACGTCCACGCACAGGTATTTCTTCACCGTAGGATAAATTTGCACCTAATGCCAAATAATCTTTAGTCCCATGAAATGTTTCTTCAGATGCTAATTGTGCTGTTATCAGACAGGTGATCACCTCCCATGGTTCGAATTCAATACTAAGAAATAAGAAAAAAAGTAAGAATATGATTATTAGGAAATACAAAACCCATGGGGTAAGTCTCTGGAATGGATAACAGTTTTCGCTACTGAAGAGTCCATAATTACAGTAGAAAAACGTTATAGTCTTAAGTATCTATACTAGTGATATATACATATACACTAAAAACAAAACAGTTCCTTATGCTATTATTTTTTACATGGTACAGGGCACTTGTTTTGAGAAAATTGCGCATTGAATGTTTGCTCAAGTAACAATGAGTACCGACAATCTAAGCACAGTATTGCAAAGCATAGAGATTAAAGAAACCCAAATGATACGGTCCACGACTGTTACTAAAATACATGGAGTACAAGAGAACGACGCCTACACGCAAACATACTGAATTTTCATGAAGAAAACAAAACAGGAAGCAAACTGTATTACAAACAATTTGAGTATCATAAAAATAAACAAGGATTGGTTTTGTGGGGATTTTATTTGATTGCACGGAGGATTTCATCATTGCGAAATGGTCGCGCTATGTCGTGAATTGACACGAGTTGGAATTCAAGGACCATTGGATTGGGTCCCAGTGACTCAATGGTCTACGAGCACGCCTTGTAACTAGAAAACCCTGGGTTCGAACCATGCTGGGTGCGCACTGATGAAGAGTCCCAAACTCGGAGGAAACAGCTGTCCAATACTCCCAGTTTTCCAGTGGTCTGTCTGTCTGGATTCAACATAGAACTTGGCACCGAAGTGCACCAGTTCGAGTTGCCACGTTCCAAATAGCACACAGAGGTAGACAAGAAGATGAGTGAAGAGAATCAATAGAGTTTGACAAATATAAGAGTGAAACAGAATGGGTAATGGTAGAAAGGAATATGAAAGATTACAGAGACTGAATACATCTGCGCCATTGACAACGATTTTGAGCCATGTCACCTATTGTCTCCAGCCATTGATTCCTAGAGTCCCGAGGGCCCCAACCCGGGAGTCTGCATCTCCCTACCTGACTCAGTTTAACTGTCAAGGATTTCATGGATTGATGCCATGTTTTTGTTTGGCCACCACTGGCTCTTTTCCAACCTGAACCTATATCAGCTAGCAATGCCCGTCGGGGGAGGCGGTGGTTAGGCATGCGCACCACGTGACCTAGCCATCTTAGTCTATGTAACTTTATAGCCTCGTCGATTGATTTTCCCTCTTTGCCCAACACTCTACGCCTAACGTCAACATTACTTACCTTGTGAAACCACCTAACGTGAGACAGAGATCGCAGACATCTATGATCGAAAGCAGTCAACCTTTTCATGTCTTCAACGCGTATTGGCCATGTTTCAGAGCCATAGAGAAGGACGGAGCGAACTGATGAGCAGTACACACGTCCCTTGGTTGATAACCGGATGTCACGCCTACGCCAGAGATGGTGTAAGTCAGCGAAAGCAGCTCGAGCTTTTCGGATCCGTGCTGAGATTTCATCGCCAATCAGTCCGTTGGTGCTAATACAACTTCCCAAATAGGTGAAGTGGTCAACATGTTCTATCACTTCACTCCCTATCACTAAGTTAGGAGTTGACGTGGTCCAGTCCTGTAGCAGCATCTTACATTTTGCAGGGGCGAATCGCATGCCAAACATACGAAGATTGCTGCTCAAGGTGTTCAGAAGACTCTGCATTTTGTCAGCATCCTCCCCTAACAGGACTATGTCATCTGCATATTCTAAGTCCATTAGATTATTCCCTGGTAACAAGTCGATTCCTAAGTCACTACGTTCAGTTAAGGATACTTCCATTAGCATATCTATGATGAAGTTAAACAGAAATGGGGAAAGTGGACATCCCTGTCGGACACCACTGGTTGTTACCAATTCAGATGACAATTCCCCATAAGCCCTTACACGACTACGTGAGTTTGAATAGAGTGCCTTGATTAGTGCAATGTACTTTCTTGGCACTCCCTTCACAGTCAGACATTGCCATAGTACCTTTCGATCCACGGAGTCGAAGGCCGCCTTCAAGTCAAGAAATATGACAATTGTTGGACGCCGAAAAGTGTGTCTATGTTCTAGAATCTGTCGAAGAGTGAAGATATGATCTATGCACCCTCTACCTGGTCTAAAGCCTGCTTGATTTTCCCTTGTCTGTTCCTCCCGAGTTCTGCTTAGTCTATGCATGATTACTGAGCCTAGGATTTTAGAGACTATGTTCGTTAGGCTGATCCCTCTATGATTATCACACGAGGACTTGTTCCCCTTCCAGTGGTTCTCTAGCTGATGTCAGCTCATGATGAAATCCTCCATGGAATAAAAATAAACGTCTTGATTCTACTATAATGTCCACATTCAACAAGGAAATATTGATGTTGCTATGAAAAATAGAACGACAGTGAGTCATAAGTGAAATCACTTCAGCCGCTAAGCTGAAATCTCTCTTTAGAGAGCGTTATTGTGAGAAATTTTAGTATGATGATAAGCAGAGTGTAAAAATGAATGAAATTGTGTCTGTACATAACTGATTTAACATATATCATAACTTCCAAGTTTTGATCACAGATTGATACAATTGAAAATCGGCACATAGTACTGGACAGCTGTTTCGTTTTAGTTTCGGACTCAGGACCTTCCGGTTATAGGGAGAGCTCGTAGACCGTTCAGCTTATGGGACCCAACTCAATAGCCAGCCCATGAATTCTAACTTCTACCAATTCGTGATTTTAGCGCGACCACCAGCTAATTTGATCGGTGAACTCCAGGTAACTTCGTCTTGTAGCAAGTCACTGCCGAGCATCAGATTAATTTTCAATCGTTTGTCTATGTGGAGTTCCAGTGAGAATTTGTGACCAGTGGGGTCTACCAGGTCGACTAGGAGAACAAATACTCCCCGATCACATTGGCTGATGATCGCGCCAAAAAACGAATTGTTAGAAGTTAGGATTCATGGGCTGGTCACTGAGTCGGGTCTCAGTGGGTGAAACAGTCTACGTGTCTGGTGAGGTGGGTGCTGCGGACGAATCCCAAACTGGGACGACACAGCTGTCCAGTACCCCCTGATTTTCAGTGTGGTTCTCCAACTGATATCAATTCGTGATCAAAACTTGAAACAAATCAAATTCGCGTGTATTTCGCTTTTGAAGATATATCATAACTGCTCTGGGAATGAAATTTCACTTCTTCATGTCTCTGATACACTATGTATTTTTTAAAATTTCTTTCCTTGGTCTTCAGAAAAGAACACAAGACTTCAAGCTTTAAGCTTTTAATTTTCAGTAGTATTAGTATTGTTTTTCTTTACGGGATGGGTCTGTTTGCTTTACATCCACCCCATTCTCTTATTTTCAGCGTTACTATATTGGCTAGTCGGTAAACTTGGTGACGTTTAGGATTGTGTCAGATTGAAGTCGAACCCGGATCTCGCATATATTCTTTATATTTCTTTTAAGAACTATTTTTATCGAATAAATATCCACTTTTCCGTCTATACATATTTCGCAACAGCATATTATCTTTACTAAAGGAAAGCTTTTTATTATTACGTGAATTACTTTAGCATGTTTTTGTGTAGACTGAGTAATATTACTGAATGTTGGCAGGTTTTTAGTTTTGTTCAGTTAGCAGATTTTTTACTGAATAGTTCCACAGTAAATTGAAGAAAACTAATTTAACAATGAACGACAAAGATAACCAATTATAAGACTATAATACAGATTGTGATTAATAAAATATACTGTCCAACAATAATAATATGAAATTTTATAACTTACTGTGTATTTGGAACTAATTGCCAGGATGACTGTTTACCCTCTAAACTTGGTGCATACATTTGCAAAGAATAGTAATCCAAGGTTGGTAGAATACATGTCTTTGGACGAACTAATACGTCTTCTTCTTTAATACCCTCAGCATTTAATCGAAATACAGATTGACAGGGTTTCGATTGAATACCAACCACAGCATATGTCTAAGATAAAGTGAGTGTCAGAGAGAGAGAGAGAGATACAGTTAAAAAGTTTTAGACTGTCTTGTGATAAGGGGTGATAGCTACAAGTGCACCGCATACAACGGGTCAATACATACCTGTTATTGATGATATTTTCACACTAAGTAGAAGGCGGATTTAAACATACTAGATATACCTTAATGTTAAAATTAACTTCAAACTGTTTGATTTGAGCCAAGTAGGGAGGTCTAGACTGCCTGATTGGGAACTTAGAGATGCTAAAAATCTATGGATCGAAAGTGTTGTTGGAAATCGTTTTCAATGACACAGATGCATTCATTCTTTGTTATCTCCTACATCTACTAAACTGTCATGTTTTTCCATGTTACTATTCTCTCTTCTATACATTTCTGCTTTTCATAGTTCTCTAAAATTTCATCTGAACAGATGCTTTGTGAGTCCAAGTAGAATGCTCTGATACGATAGTTTGATAAACTTTGTCGGTACCCCTCTCACGGCGAAACATCGCCGTAACATGTCTCGATCGACAGAGTTGAATTCCACCTTCACAACACGAAATATAACAATTGTTGAACACCAGTGAGTATGCCTATGTTCCAAAATCTGCCAAGGGGTAAAGATATGGTCAACACACTCTCTTCGATCCCTTAGCCTGTCTAGTTTTCCCGCGTTTATTTCTCCCGAGCACCACTTTTCCTATTCAGGATTATGGAACTTGGAGTGTTAAATACGATGTCAGACATGGTGACGCTAGATATTACCTAGTAACTTAGTTAACCCAGACAACAGATTGTTACCACGGTCCTTAAGTGCCTCGGAAGTCAGTTCATCAGATCCTGCTGCTTCGCCTCGTTTCATAATTAGACACGGTCCTTGTAACAACTCAGTTAAAGTTGGAGGATCAATGTTGAATTCCTTGATGTGGAATAAAATGTCACTATTCAGTGGAAGCGTGGCCAACTGTTAATATTAGATTACGATCAGAATATATTGCCAACTGACTGAAATATAGAACACTATTTAGTCAAGAACTATGCGACATAATAAAGTGACCACGTGAATTTGGAAGGGCAAAATTCACCTTCCCACAGACTCAAATATAGCCTATCACATAGACTCAGAGTTTTAGACTAATGTGTGCGCTTTACAGACCACTCAAGTGAGAGAGAAAAAAGCACAAACACCAGAGAAGAGAATTGTCAATACTTTTTAAACCAATAGATATTGATAAACACAAAATATCTTCTAACACGCAAATAAATTAGCATTTGTGTAAACTAAATTTTGGAAAAAACAACCACTAACGCCACTTGACTTCAACACTAATATGATATTTATGCCAAATTTGCTAGTTTTCACATCTTCAATCATGCTATTCACATCTAATGAATACAAAAGTCATGTTATGAGACTTTCAAAAAATTGATCAGTGATGAAAGTACATTGATTGGTGAATAGGTTATGTAAACAACCTTTGATTTATTCAAAATAAACTTTTATTTTATCAACTACATTATACACTACAGTCAGTCAGTCAGTTTTCGACATAGAACTTTGCACCAATGTGCAGCAGTTCAAGTCGCAACACTCCACTCCATGTAGCACACAAACCAAGAGAAGAAACTAGAAGAAATGCATAATAAGGACACTAAACAGAAATATGAGACAAAAGGAATAGTAATAACGAAGAACAATATAGTTTCATTGGAAATCATAAGTCACAAGGAGTAGATGCATCTACGCTAGCCATTGAGAACGATGTTGAGCCATATCACCAATTGTTTCCAGCCAGTGGCTCTTACCGTCCCGAGGATCCCAACCAGGCGGTCTACACCATCCTACGTAGCTTAAACTAACTGTTGTGGATTCCATTGACTGGTGAGGCCATGTTATTTTATTTATTTTTTTATATTTTTGATTACAGCTTGATTCTACACTGTATTTTTGGTATAAGTATGGAATTTTCGGCGTGGATATCGGTAGCCCAAATTTTGCAGGCCGACCTTAGATATCAGGTGTGCGTCGGCGAGGGCTCGAACCTCGGACCATGTGCATGGTCGGCGAGAGTCCTAACCACTGTGCCACCGACGCAGTTTTGGTTTGACGGCTGCTAGCTCTTTTCCAGCCTGACCCTATGTCAGCTAACATTGCCCATCGAGGAAGGCGGTGACTAGGTATACGTAACACATGTCCTAACCATCTCAGTCGATGTAATTTCACAGCCTCGTCGATTGATTTCCCCTGCTCACCTATAACTCGACCGAGGCCTAACCTCAATATTGCTCACCCTATTATACCACTTCACACGGGAGATAGAACGCAGGCACCTATGATCAAAGACAACTGGCCTTTTCCTATCTTCCACTCTCAATGGCCAGGTGTCGCTCACAGCCATAAAGGAGGATGGAGCGGACTGTTGAGCAGTACACACGCCCTTTGACCGCCAGCCAGGCAGATATCACGTCTACGCCACAGACGGCGTAAACTGGCATATGCGAAACTAGCTCTCTGTATCCGTGATGAGATTTCGTCGGAGATCAACCCGTTGGGGCTGATGGTACTTCCTAAATAAGTGAAGCGATCGACGTGCTCTAGCAATTCACTTCATATTTCTAAACTAGGAGTCTGTGTAGTGCAGTCCTGTAACATCATTTTCTGTCTGTCTGTCTGTTTTCGACATAGAACTTTGCACCGATGTGTGGAAGTTCAAGTCGCCACACTCCCTCCTTGTAGCACACAAACCAACAGAAGAAAGTAGAAGAAAAGCATAATAGAGACAGTAAGCAGGGTGTGAGACAAAGGGAGAGTAATAACGAAGAACAAAACAGTTTCATTGGAAATCATAAATCACAAGGACTGGATGCATCTGCGCCACTGAGAACGATTTTGAACCATGTCACCAATTGTTTCCAACCATTTGTTTTTACCGTCCCAAGGACAAAAGCGTGTGTCGGAGGGAGCGAATGGCATATCAAACATTCGTAGACATTATGTGATAATTAAAGTAGACACAGGTGGGTTCGAATGCAATATCCACCAGCTGAAAGTCCAGTGTTAACAGTGTTGCTGATAAGCAACATCTTCAAGATTACAATTCCAGGGATAATAAATTACTTTGTAAGTAAGTCCATCTGACTGCTCATTTTTCAGAACAAATTCACACAGATTACTAAAGATAGTAACAGAAAATAAGACTGTGTTGATAATGCTGTATTAAATGATATTTGACTGATTGAAAACATATTTTGACTAACAGTTAACCCAAACAGACATTGAAACCGTTAAGTGTTTACTTAGCCTGACCGACTGGGTAGCATCATTAGTCATCATACACCAAGTGTTTTTTAATGTACGTCGCCTTAACACATGGCAGGAATGAAGGATTATATTAACATGGTATTTATATATAATGCACAGACAGTTCACTGATAGAACACTCAAAAACCACTCCCAGCAGACACAGCCCTAAATCTCACTTAGCCGGTAATAGGAGCGGTGAACAGCGAAATCTCGATGTGAGGTTAACAACTCCATTCCCTAAAAACAAACACTAGTCTTGTTGACTTGGAGTATCTGTGATTGATATTGCCTTCCCAGGTGAAGACGCCAGCAAAACGTAACGTAGTCTTCGAATGAGCATGCCGAGCCTCCACCTTTCTCAACAGACAATGTTAGCTGACACAGGATTAATTTGGAAAAGGATTAGGAATGTCGAAATCAAGACATTTCACCATTCCATAAAGTCTTTGACAGTTGGTTCGAACCACGTAAAGATGTAGACTGTCGCCTGTTGTCATGGGTCTTAATTGTTTGAGTCTGTTGATGATATTGTCTTAAAATGGTTATCAGTGATGCAAATGCATTCATTTCTCATGATTAAGAAATTTTTTGAAAATATTTTTGATTACAGCTTGATTCCACACCATATTTTTTGGTACAGGTATGGAATTTTCAGCATGTGATATTGGTAGCCCAAATTTCGCAGGCCGACCATGGATATCAGATGTGCATCGGTAGGGGATCGAACCCCGGACTATATGCATGGTCGGCGAGAGTCCTAACCACTGTGTCACCGACGCAGAAAAAAAGGAGGACCGTAACGCCTTTCCACTGACAAAAACCACACGCCCAAGTGCACCCGATTGGGGTTTGTCGTGAGTTTCAACCCAGTGAGGTGCAATCATGAGTCTCCAACCGGGATCAGAGCATTCTTGATCACCCTGAACCCGGATCTATTAAGTTCTGATATTTTCCACTGTAATCATCCTTGCTTCCGTACATGTCTGGTCATCATAGTTATTTCGAATCTCTTTTTCATTTCTTTCCTCTACCTTTTTGTATGCTACGTGGTGTGTGGCAACTTGATGAACTGCTCCATTTCTGTGTGCACAGTTCTACATTGAAATTCAGTCATTCAATGAATCAACTAAATTATTCTACCGATAAATCATACTAAGGAATATATATGATGATGAAATATAAATATTTCTACTATCAGGATCAATGAAAATTGAGATCATTTACTTTTAAACTTACTTTACTCTCTATATGATATTGTACATAATATGGTACTGGATCAAGAGTAATCCATTTCAAGCCCAAATGTTCAGTGAATGAATAACCAGGTGGTAAAGTTGCTAAACGCATTTCATTCTAATATAACATGAAATTATAATAAAAAAGTAGAGATAATTTAGAGCGAAACACACACACACCCAATGCAAAAAAATCAAAAGTGGGGAGGATGAAAATTTTTTCAAAGTAATGCAATATCAATTATTTGAACAGTGAAATTTGTTTAAACTACTAAAAAATCTTACGACAAAAAAAGACGTTAATTATCTGAGTTGTGCTCAACACTTTTTGAACAAACTGATCATACATGTGCGTCATCTATTCAGAACAACATTATTATTACTATTATTATTTACTTCAATTCCTAGAGGAACATAGGGCTTCAGCTGCGCGTCTCCATTGCGTTCGGTTCTCCACCAACGTTTTCACCCCACTCCAAGTCTGCCCACATGTTTTCATCTCCTCTTCATACGACCTCCTCTCGAAGTCACCCTTGGACGACTAACTCGCCGCTTCCCTTTCGGATTCCACTCGAGCAATGGCTTGTCTAGTGATGTCACTTGATGGTTTCCTCAGCGTATGGGCAATCCATCTCCATTTCTTCCTGCCTATTTGTTTCACAATCGGTTCCTGGTTGGTTCACTCATTGCCAGAGATCCCTATTGCTGATCTTGAATATTGAGCGAAGACAACTGTTAATGAAGGTCTGAAGTTCGTCGGAGATGCTCTTTATGACCCTCCAAGTCTCTGATCCGTATGAAATGAAAGCTTGTCTTGCTTTTCCGATTCTGGCTTTGATATCCTCGTCAGTTCCGCCTGTAGTTGAGACGACGCCTCCCAGGTAGGTTGGTGTAGGAGGTTGTTTCTTTCAGGTTCCTCCCATTCATGCTGGCTGATTGTTGCCTGTTGCTGTTGGCCAGGAATCTTCATCACCTCTGTTTTCTTTATGTTCACCTGAAGTTCTATTTTATCTGGATGCTTCTTCTGCCAACTTGTTGCTTTTCACTTGCATACCTTTCAGCTTGTGGGAAATCAGACATATATCATTCAGAGTCATATCCCAGTGCATTTATTAATTTAAATGTATATGTGGTCGCACATACAAAGAGTAGACTCATTGATTTCTGATAAGTAAGGGTTTTAAAGCACTTTCCTAAACGGATTCAGAAGCAGATTTACTTCTCTAAAACCCACTATAATATCGAACATTTTTTATATGTCGCCCATCAAGAGCTTGTTTGAAGATTTTATTGAAAACATCTCCCTTTATTGAAGACATGTTGATGATATTTCTGACCAATTAATTTTAGAATGAATATCTCAATCATCACTTCAGTAAAAAAAGGACTTGGTGAGATGTCTCTTCAGTAGGCATTCAACGGAAATGCACGCACAACACAATTGAAGGTGAAGAAAGAATATTAACAGAAATGTTTAGGTGAAAATAATTACTCAGAGGAATTCATATGGAGAGTACCAAAACAAATTCTCTTATTTGCAATTAAAAAAGACTTATATGTCAAGCTACTCAGCATGAGAGATCTTATATTAGCGTGACACAGGCAAAGATTGAATGCTGCGGCTAAAAAGATTTTTAATGCAGCCTGGATCTCAATAATTGAGAACGTGAAGGTCGCATATCCGTCTAGGGCTTTTAGATCATGATGTCACGACTCATTGTATCTGCCAATTTAAATGTAAATGCGGTTATACATACATAGGGACTATTCATCAATCTTTGCGAGTAAAGCTTTTAGAAGCAGATTGAATCGCCGAAACTATTCAGGTGAAAAAACGACGAGAAAACTCTTCATTTGCTAAGTATATCATATATACACAGCATGAAAATGATGTTTCTATGTGGTTTAAACGAATAAGACTTGTAAGGAGCGTATCCTAACGTTTTGCGAAGCCCTAAAGACCAGGAAGTGGAAGTCACCTCTGTGTTCAAAAACAATTTGTCATCACTCTAAACGTCCCTTGGTAAATTTTATTTTGTTAACAAGATTGGTGTACTATTATTCCTAAGTTTTTGGTTTATTAATCTTCACTGTTATTTTGACCTTCGTTATCGCCTTTTCACTTGATCTATGTTTATTCTCTCATCTTTCACCGGTTTATTATTTTTTTTCTATCAATCTCTATGACAGTTACATGTATGATTAGATTGTTAGAAATATGCTGCACAAATAAATATCACGATTCAGATGATAAATCACCTCTTCTTATTGCTTTGCCGAAAGTCAAACAAAGAGAACTAAGTGTTTCAAATTGAAAACCCTCATATAATCAAAATATCTTTGTTGTCTAAAAACGCATTTGAAATAGAAATGAAAGTCTGTTTAAGAAGAAGAAAAACGCATTAACTCACAGAGAATGTGAAATAGACAAAGCCTGAATGACAGATACTTGCATTCAACGGTGCAAAACTACCCATCAGTCCATCAATAGAATGTGGAAATACACGAATTTGTCCAGAGTCTGTAGCAAACAGCCACATAGGATTCCCACCGCACACAAATACACCACGATGATCACCGATATTTTCGAAACTTCTTAACATATGACTCCGCGTTAATAGCGTTGACTGCAGATATTAAAGTAAGAAGAAGAAGTTTGAAATCAATTAAGCCACACGATAACTGGAAGAATGTTAAAGCAAAAACAAGCTGGTAACATAAGGACTTCGCTCTTAAACATAGAAAGGAATCCTCATTATTGTAGTTAGCATGTATGAAGCGAAATAGGTCACAAACGGCACACAGTTGCACCTTAGTGAAATCATATTATTAATGATAGCTTTAGCCTGAAGAATGTGTTCACAAACACAATACAGAATTTTTAGTATGTTTCATTGCAAGGTATTTATTCATTGTGCCGAAACTTCAAGTTATATCGTAATCCAATTTTAGATTTCCCCGTCGATTGATTGGAACGAAGTGCTCGTTCTCAGGTTGACATGTCGGCTTCTTGTGCAGATGCTTCGACGATGTCTGGGCATGTAACTGGAAGTTCGAGTCTCTGTGGGAACATCATCACTCACTATGGAATGCAGGCACATCCAGGACGAAATGCCCATCCTGGATTCCACTGCTAGTCACCATCCACGAACTTATATCGTAATCGATAATATATAATTTGTAGCAGTATTGCTCCATCCGAAGCATGTTCCAATGCCCCACAATATTTCTCCACCTTTACTTCAAAACATTATTAGAGGTAGGCGCAGACCTATTTGAAAATGTGCGTGAGTATAGACTGCGGTTAATACATGTAATTAGATTATGAAAACAACAAGAACTGAAGTAAATACGATGCATTTTGATGCTGATAGAGTCTAAATAGCCCAGTGATATAAGTAGGCCATTCGTTTGATTTTTTATTACATCTTACTTGATAGCCTACCGGATTTTAAACGGACTGTCAGACAGGGTTCATCCAGACAACAGAAATGCTTGAGACGAGAATTATTAAGAACAAGTTGTGCGTGCAGGGGACGTTTATTCAAATGCTTACTCTTATTTGATCTACAACAAACATAAGTGTGCTGAACTCCATGTGTAAACGATTAGAGATTATTATTTTGTTCATTTTTGTGTTTTTTTGTGAGCATACCCGCTTTACTGCCTACCTATCAACTCTTAATTACATATAATTTGACAATCTTGGCGTAAATATTTTCTACTTTGATTTTAGACTTATCGCCTGTTTATTGATCTATTCATCTATTGAATTACTTTGCTCAATACCAATTCAATAAATATAGTGAAACCGTTATCATCATAATGACATCATTAATACATCGTTACGACTAGATGCGGTGATCTGACAATTTTTTGCAGAATATCATATAAGAAGACTTAGTAGCTATACAAAAAATAATCGGTGAATTAATGAAGCTTCATCTATCACAGAATAGTATGCACGAGTGAATTTCCTAATTGATGTATATCTTCCTTTTACAAACTTATAACTTCTACTAATTAGCTATTTTTATAGTAAACTCAAGTTGTTGTTGTTATTTTGCATTGTAGGTATTTAAAAATACAAATCTGTTGAATCATTGATCATATACTTAAGAAATTCACATCAGTTGAAGACTGCCACAAAAACAAAAGGAAAGACGATATGATGTTGTTGTATACCAAATGTTCTCTGTTTTTATACTTTAAAATGTTTCAAAGGAAGGTAGATTTCCGCCATGTTTTGATAGACAAGAATATACAGTTAAAACTTATGAAATGTAATCTGATGCTTGTAACCAATGAATTGCTGCATACAAACCAAGGAGTAATTTAGCTGCCGACATCCTCAAAAAGAAGGTCTCACAGTCCCTCAAAATGATATTCGCTGAAGCATCACTGAGAACAGTTTTTTTCTAGTCGACCTTTACTGTTCAATAATCTGAAGGAAAAGTTTCCACAGTTGACTGTATTCATCAGTTCACCTGCTCCTGTGGAGCTAGGTATATCGGTCGTTCGACGAGAGTTTTTTGCACATAAGGGTGCGAGAACACTATCGTGTATGCTTACGAGAAGGTAGAATTGAAGTTATACGAAGTGCATTAATTCTATGTTTGGTCACCTTATTTCTACAGTCTCTTCCTTTAAAGTTATCTACAAGGTGAAAAGTAACCTGTCCAAATCATTATGTAGCCCAGTCATTTGTATTGTTGAAGTTTTGGCCATCAAAAATAGATAGGCCAGACATTTGTACACAGAAAAATATTGTTCAACCACATTTTCTTTCATGGTCCTAAACTGTATATGCTAAACTATTATAATCCCCATTCTTGCATTGATCCTAATCATTTTTCGTTTCTTTCTTTAATCGACATATCCTTCCCTTATTATTTCGACTGTAAGTATTAATTTCGCTTCGAACAACATCCGGTATTATCTTATTTACCATCTTTATTTATGTAATTCCATATAATGCTTTTTGAAATGTTTCCTTATCATAATTGTCACCATATTGCCTAATGTTCTAATTGCCTACGAATTTCATTATTTCTACAGCCTAACCCCCCACTTTGAGATTTACACATTTCATGAACTAAAGTACATAAACACTTAATTCGTTTATTACAATTCTTACTATTTTCGCATGTGTTTGAAAAGAAACTTGACATCAGACATGCAATGTGAACACTGAGTTAATTAGTCAGTTTGTGCCAGATTTAAAGAGGGCGGGGGTTGAGGATACTAGGTTTCTTAGTTATGATTCACTTTGTCAACTGTCAGGAAGTAGAAATGTGTAATTTCCGAATTCCCATCTACGCATTTGGTTTTTTTTTCGAAATAGATTTTTCATTCACACATTTTCACTCGTTATTTATTTATTTAAAACAAAGACATGGTGCAACATGGACACAAAAGATGCGCCACAAAAAAATAGTGAGAATAAGGATAAAATACATGAAACACGTCATCCAGAAAACAAGAAAGTATATTATTTTCAGTGGGGAGAGAGAAAAACGTTGCAGCATGTTCATTATTGACCATATCGGATAACGATCCTGCACCACTGATTCAAACTACCTCTCGGAACCACACACCCCAAGGGAGTAGTGATGAACCTACTGTTGCTAACCTGACACAAATATCCTTCGTCCCATGACAGTTCGTGATTGACTGACCACCTCTCCGCTTTTTTCACCCAGTCCTAAGGTTGGCGGACAACGACCGATATGAGAGCCTCGGAGATAACATTCGTAACACATGTTCAGGCTACAGAAGCCGATGTTTCAATATGGACATACTCAATGAGTGGTGACCATCATCGTCTCTCAACACACGTTACCGGACCTCAGAATTACTTACATGAGGATGTTATCGGTCGCAAGTTATTCTATGGAGGAAGTGATGGTTTAAACGCAGAATTGCTGCGCCTTATCTGCTTGGAGAGGCGAGGTTTCACAGGCTTAGAGCAAGACTGTGCCCCGAAGTACTGTAATCCCGACCTTTGACAACCAGGATAATGTTGTGACAGAGCCAGAAGTGACCCAAATCGGTACGCCACCGAAGATGCCACTATACGATTAGAGATTTTGTCCGTCACACCTCCAACAGCAGTCACGCAACTACCTAAATACACAGACTTGTCAAAACTTCAAGCAGCTTAACTGCAAGGATGATTACATGTATGAATTCCTGTCAATCTTCCAACAATGTTTTGGACTTAGAAAGCGTAAACCACATGCCAAAATTATCGAAACTGATTACCAACTGAATGAGTGTGCTTCGGACGGCCCGCACGTTATTGCACAGTAAGACGATATCATCTGTATACTCGAGGTCGAAAAGTCTTTATCCAGGAAGCTAATCTACGCCACCACAACGTCTCTTAGAACTGACTCCAGAATTTCAACGACCACATTTTCATATCTCACATATGACTGATTCTCATAACTTTCAAAATTACTGTTCTTAATCTCAAACATACTTGGGAAAACTAAGTTACGACGACAAATTATCAGAAACAAACAAGCATAGAAGGTGATAATAAGAGACAATATCATATTTTAAAATGACGGGCAGGCAACTTAGCGAGCAACTTAACAACAACACTTAATTCATAAGCTCACCAACTAAGAGAAAGGTACATACCTGAACATCCATTATCTTGGGATCAGTTCGAATACGACGTGGTGCAATAAGCGGACAAGCTAGAGGTAAGCGTCTCCAGCGTAATCTGCCTTCATAAAATGATCCAGAAATAAGAGGATAGGCTTCATTTATTGAAGGGCATATTGCTTCAAAAAATGCTATTTCTTGACTGGTTCGAACCTAGTTAAAATAAAACACATAAAATAAATGTTGCCACTATGTCTTAGAATTTTATCTTCTAATTTTGATTAAAATTGTTTTCAGTTTCAAAGGTGACGTTAATGTTTAACAAAATGTAAAAACTTATAACGCTCACTAATCAGAACATTTCTATTCAGAAAAAGTACATTAATCAAATCCATCTAATCACACGTGTAATTTTCACAGCTGATAAAGAATAAGAAATGACACTTAATTCAAAGATTCACTACTTCAATAGTACGGTTCTATTTAATAACAACATCACTTTGTGACCTAACTAATGCCTACAACGATCAAAGACACTTTATTATCACCTTATGAATTCTACTTTTCAAAACACGGTCTTATCACCACAGAGTAAAACAAAAGGATACTGTTAGATAGTGTAATATCCTTTTTTCTTGATGAAGTTACATTTTATAGGCGTCACTGGTGGTGTAAAGTGGCATATATAAAAAGTGCCATTTGTATCCAATTTGAAATTCCCCCGATAATCAGCCCAGTTACATTAAACCGCAACATTACTACCTATATTGGATGGTTGGAGGCAGTCGGCCACAGGAAACCTTCGATTTAGGTTTCGTAATAGTTGGCCATCACCAGTTAGCGAGGCGTATCTGCAACCTTGAAGGAATTAATGTTTCTTCCGAGATTCGAACCCGCGTTACCCACTGTTGCGGTCAAAGACATTACCACTGAGCCATTCGGGCTCGCGACTAACCTTCTATAGGACTGTAGTGGATATTTTGATTGGACAGTCAGTAACTGGTGTAATAGTCCTATATCTGTATAGTCAAAGATAGGACTAGACACATACATTACACTAGCTACGGACTAGTGTCCATTCAAAAATATTACTATCTATTATTAAAAATATACGCTGGATGAAAATGACCCGTAAACGTCTTTGTATCTATCTTGAGTAAAATGGTAACGCTCTAACCACCAAAGTCGTTAAAATTGAGGTACAGAGTTGATCGCATCCTATGGCGATGCGTAATGTTGCATATGAATTAGCACAGAAATAATAAGACTCAAGTATCCCACAGTTGTGATAGGCACATTCATATCTCATAGATACAATGCACAATAATTTATGAATAATAATTTACCATCAACACTGGTCTGTCTTTATCAATACCAATAGGGAATACAAGAATTTCCAAAACAGGCGGCGGTATACTATCGTCTTCTCCGTATGGTACACTGTAAATAAAAGGGAAGTGAAAAAAGTTATAAGAAGATGACAGAGGTAAACTATCATTTCTCTCAGTAAAAAAAATCACCACAAAACAGTTTTTAGAACTTCATTCAATTTTAGATTTTCCTGTCGGATTGATTGGACCGAAGAGGTCGGTCCCAGGTTGACATGTCGGCTTTTGTGCAGATGCCTCGATGATGCCTGGGCATGTGATTGGAAGTTAACTGGCAGATGTTAACTAGCAGTGGAATCCAGGATAAAGCGCATTTCGTCCTATTTTGGACTCGTCAGCTGGATGCGCCTGCATACCGCGGTGAGTGATGATGTTTCCACCGAGGCTCGAACCCAGTGTCCATATTTTCAAACGCCAAAGCGTTATCATCCACTAGACTACTTGGGCCATGAGAGCCACCTCTTGTGCGACAGGTCATATTATTAATTAAGAAATATATCTATCCTATAGCAGCAACATAAGCTTAGATGCATCGTTTAATACTATTTGCCGCACTACACTAATCTTTATGAACGAGGTATGTTAACACTTTCTTGATACCGCTAATGTCTACATAACCATGCGAAAACCGGTTTTCACCATAGGACTAGTTTTTTATATGAAGGACATAACTTATAAAAAAGTTATCCAACATTAAATTCTAATGACAGTATTCGATCTAACGTATCTTTTCATGGTTGAAGATTTCTTTTCACGTTTATTCTTTGTTTAAACACACTTCTTGTTCCAAAATAGCTATTGGGTTTTTTACCTGTTTTGCATTGTTATTTTTTAACACTTGGTGTTCATATGTAACACACACACCGTATAAAAATGCAACATGTGCAAAAGTGAGAAATTTGCATAAAAATAACAAAATCCGGTTGGTATGAACGGAATTAACTCATCGATTTGAATCAATCCTGGTACAACAGTGAATAGCTGGACCACATACCATCGAAATGGTAGTCCTTTATTTCGATTATTTCGACCCGCCTAGTAAGCATCAGTGTTTAAAATGACTACTTTCCAACTACTCATAACAATCAGTAGTATGTACCACAATGCTATAATTAACACTGCACACACTATAAAAAAATGCAACTTCTTCAATGAAACTGAAATTTATCGCTTGGTTTAAATCCTCAGTAAGGTGAATGGTTAATTAACAACTGCATGCATTTTATTGGAACTGGTAATAAACCATATTTATTGTGCGAAAGCTGGTGACCAGTTATATCTGGTTATCTAAACCTGGATAGGTCTGATGCCCATGATACAATCAACCACAGCGGCACAATTTAACTTCAATCCTTTGACCATTTACTCAACGTACTATAAATTGGCACTGTGTGCATGGTTTAAGATCTTCCAACTCTGTTTATATGCAGTTATTCAATCGGTCCTCCGCTTCTGATGGAAGCGATATTCATTTAAAGAGTAACTTAAATGGGATGTAATTTAATGCGATCTAACTAACTTGCGTCAGTGGCACAGCGGTTAGGACGCTCACCGACCATGCACATGGTCCGGGGTTCGATCCCCAGCCGGCGCACTCCTTTACCTCTTTAAGCCAGTAGTGAGACTGGTGAAGAAGAAAGGTTTGGCATGAGGCTAGCAACCCCATCCTGTAAAAATAATCACCACTGTTACAGAAACTTCAAGCATCTAGCTTGGAGCCCTATGTTCCACTGGGAACGTGCAGGAAAAAAAACTATCGAAATAAATTGGCTATGATAATTTTCTAAAGAATTCCCCTTTCAACATTATAATGAAAATTGCACTTAGTATATATGTATGGGTTGATGAATATCTACATGAATTCGTTAAGCTATCATTGAACTGTCAGGAATTAGCACAAATAACTTTGATTGTACTACATAATCACATGTGTGGCAAGAACTTATTAACGCGCGGAGGGGTCTTGCATGTACCAGATCAAGAGCCACACTTATTTTGTGCGAGGACTAATGATACTATCCAGGTGCCAAAACTGAAGTAGGTGGAAAAGGATTTGAACTCGACAAATGCTGACTGCAGGCCGACTGTTTAGGCCCATAAGCTAGATCTCCACCTCATGTACAAATATTTACTCCAACAGAATACAAAAGTAAACTCATCTTCGTAAGGTTAAAAGTGTCAGATGATGAAGACATCTAATATACACAGGCTACATTAAAGAGTAAGTGACCAACAGAAAAGATAATACAAGAAGTTGATGCAACAATATTTTTATTATTTAATGAAAAGTTACCTTTGTGGATTTGGATATTGCGATTGAAGTTGGTCACTACTCACACCTCTATGATCGATTAACATTTGTGGAAGACCAGTAAAATGATGAACCTCATAGAGTAATGTAAATTCTGGTAGACTATAAATCTAAAACCAAAGGGATACACAGCAAAAAGGAATAAAATTGTAAAATCTGAGCAAAATTAAGGAAGATTAACTCATTATTTGTCAACTTATTTTCAGGAGATGGGGTTTATGAATAGCATGAAAGTTTGTATCCCTTATCAACCACAGTGATAAATGGGTGGTGTTGACTAATATCTGTCAGTAAAGTTTGCGATTCGATCACCAAGCTAGGAGACTAGCCGACGGGGTGAACTTTAAATTATTATGAAATGGTTGAAAGCAACCGTCATGAAGTCTTGTGGTAGGCCAAGAGATTATTGTCAACCGCTATGAAACTTGACTCATAGAATTCAGTTAGCATGACTAAGGAGTAGACACATGACACTGGTGACACTCCAATGATCAAACAATGTAGACAGTCCAACAAGAACGTGCTGCAGGGGTGAACAGCTTAGTGGCAGAATCCCTGACTGCGGCACCGAGTGATGTGGTTTTGAATCAACCAATGGATATTAATTCTCCTTGGACCGCACATTCGCCTTTAAAACCAGAGACAATAAGCAGAAACCTAGGCTCAGAGTTTCTTGCCAGTTGCTTTCAACCGACTGAAAACAGCTAAATTCAGAAGAATTAGCTAATAGCTAGCAAATATCAGGTTCACCTAAAGGTGTATTATATATGTTCAGATGTAATCAGAATCAGTTTGTTCATCTCCTTATATAAAAATTAAGATGTAGTGTAAGCAGTATCTAAAGCCATCTGACATTATTTCTTAGTAGTATTTTATAAAAAATGTTGATAGAATAAAAGAATCTTCAGTAACATAGAAAGTAAAAACTTAAAAATGCTAATCCCCTAGTATAATCTCGCATCCTCGCCCCAAAAAAGTGGACATGAGAGAAATACGTTAACTACTAACAAAAAAATTCAATGAAAATGGGGTGAGAAGTGATTTCCACAAAGCAATTATTCCTTCAAAATGAAGTTAACTTTCCCAAAACCGAAAATAAACATCACTATGCGCTAAGATAGTTCTCCGCTTAAATTTATCTCTCAGTATATTTCATGCAACTACGGCGAATGAAGTCGATTAAGGCTGCTTATACTTTTTTATCACTGATATTACTATTTACCACTGTGATTCAGCAATATTTACAACACTAAACACTTAATTATGATTCATAAATTTTCAAGTATTGGTTCCGTAAGGATTTTGTGTGATTGTATGGAGGATTTCATCATGAGCTCACATCGGTTGGAGAACCACTGGAAAACCTGGGAGTACTGGACAGTCCCTAGTTTGGGACTCTTCATCAGTACGCACCCACCGCCAGGGTTCGAACCCAGGACCTTCTGATTATAAGGCGAGCTCGTAGACCATTGAGCCACATACAATCATAAATTCACTATCATTGTTAAACATTTTATGTGTATACAGATGTGAATGTTACAGTAAAGCCTGAGTAAGATAAAGTTGAAAACAAAACTTCAAGTTTGATCACAGATTGATATCAGTTAGAGAATCATTGAAATCCAGGGAGTATTGGACAGGTGTTTAGTAATAGGTATGGGACCCATCGGCAGTACGCACCCACCAGGTTTCCAACTCAGGACGTTCCGGTCACAAGGCAAGCACCTAGACCCTTTTCATTCACTAAGACCTAACTGAATGACCAGTCTATGAATCCTGATTTCTACCGATTTGTTATGATAGCGCGACCGCCAGCTAATGTCGCTGGCGAGTATTCGTCCTCACTCTCAACCGGGTTGTCACGACTTCTCAATGGAACTCCATGGCAACTTCATCCTGCAGTCAATCACAAGAGAGCAGCTTCCCTCCCAGCACTCTCTGGTTCAAAATGGTTCTCTAACTGATATCGATCAGTGATCAAACTTGAAACAAGTGAAATTCCTACAAAAAGTATTGTTCGCATATGCGTCGGTTTAATTTTGACAGTGTGGAGTATTTTAAACTTTATGAAGTAAACTGAATAGAATATCCAAGGATCAAAGACGACTTGTGGGATTGAAACATGAATCCATTTTCGACCATACAACCAACCAAACAATAAGTAACTATGTGAAATTATTTTTATTATGATAAAGTAAAAGTGCATTTAACTAAAACAAACAAAAAACTTCTATCCTGGAAACAATACTACTAGTGAGTAGTCGAAGTAAATTAAACGCAAAACAATAAGAACCTACTTCAAGTACACCATTGGTATATACAATAAAAGCGAAGTATTTCGATGGAGGCTCAGATCCGACGCCATCAACACTATAAGAAAATTGAAAGTATTCGACAGAAAAAAAGAAACACATTAATAAGACTTAAATATGTACAGTTTGAAAGCACCAAAATTCGTCTATTGACAAAATAGCAAAACTAAACGATTGATTACCTAATAAGACGTTTGATATTGGTATGGCACATAAACCAACGAAATCAATAGAGAATATCTTTTGGAAACAAATAGACTCCCTGTCCTGAAGATATGAGGTGAAAATAATGCGTAAAAATACTTGCTAAGATCGTCAACTCAACTAGATTAGTCAATTTTTAGTCAGCAGATAACTTAGAGAACTTATAGCAACCGGCTAGCAGTCGAATAATAGGATATTTTATCACTGATCTGAAGAGACAAAGGTAGTTTAAAGGTGTGACTGAAACAGCATAGAATGATTATATACGAGTAGATTGAAAAGCTCCTAGAAAATTACAAAAGTCATGGTAATTCAATAAAATGAAAACCAAGAGGTTCATGAATATACACATTTTACTAAGGCAGAATCAACCGACTAAAAAACCAATACAAAATTCATCATTACATCGGAGATACAGGACACGTATGTGGACAAAAAATCCAGTCAACGACGACGAACCTTCTAACGTACGAATCAACTTCAGTTACAAACTAATAACAACAAAAGTTGGCAAACATACAATATAGATAATAATGAAATTTACAGACAATTTAATTCTGTGAATCAAGTGCTGATATAGTTATGTACTTTTTTAGCCCAGAAATTTATAAGAAATGGACTCAATTTATGAATTAGACGTGTATTTTTGTAACTATAGAAGACGAAAGACAATGCTTATTTGGAAATTGATAGACTATCTACGGCCTTGCCTTGTAAACGGAAGGTCTTGAGTTTGGAACCCGATGGGTTGTGTAATGCCGATGAGCCTCAAACCAGAACGAACCAGCTGTCCAGTATTCCCTGGTTTTCAATAGTACCCTAAATGATATCAATTCATCGTTAAACTTGAACAGCAAGTCAATTCTTAAAAATGTTATAAGTATTCTTTCTGCTGCGTGCGTCGGTGGCATAGCGGTTAGGACGCTCGCCGACCATGCATATGGTCTGGGGTTCGATCCCCGGCCGACACATTGCTTTACCTCGATAAGCCAGAAGTAATGCTGGTAAAGAGGAAAAGTTGGGCATGAGGCTAGTAACCCCATCCTGTAAATATAAACACTGCTACAGTAACTTCAAGCCCCTAGCTTGAAGGCCTATGTACCACTGGGAACGTGAAGGAAGTTTATACCTATATAGCCAAGTTATACATACCGTATTTTCAACACACCATTTACACAGATCTTAATGTTATGGTACTTCTGGACTTCATATTGTGTTTCTTTGTGTTCCTTTCATGTCTTCTACGTATCTCCACAACGCTACACCATTTGTCTCCTCTGAAATCAAATGTATCCCACTGATATTTGATGTTTTTATGCTGATGAACGTCTCTTTATATACTCTTGACAGAAATCTTGTCAGTAGCAGTCGCCACAGTTTGACGTCTTAAACACACTATCCAAAGTCCACAAGGACGCGCAACAATGTACCGATAGCTTGAGGTACAAGTATTCTACATTCCTAGATTTGTGTCTCTTTCAACGAAACTTGAAAACCATGACACATTCATATATTACAAAGATGTAACATCCACGATTTCCGAAGTCAGTACACACTAAAAATAATGTATGTGGACTAGATTCCACTTACATAATGAAGCCAAAAGCTGAAGTACATAAGGCCTAGTAATCTGATTACAAATGTATGTGTTCAGGATACTAATGCCACAAAATCCACACATCATTAAAAGCACTTCCTAAACGTGTTAACATTGCTACGAAAATAAGTAAATAGAAGTAAACTACTGATTTTTATATCAGTAGTCTGACAAAATGGTACTGTGAAGTTATAGTAATGCATATCTCATAATCCTTATTCGACAAACAATGTTTCAGTGGTTCTCAACTGCTAATGTCAGTCGGTATTACATACCAACCATCACTGGTGCTTGATGACACTTACATGACTAGGGAGGCAACACAATATGATCTGAATACGTTGTTTGGAAAGTAGGCCGCGGTGAAATTTAACTCCGAACTGTTAACTTAGCGCAAATGACTGATTTTATTCGAACAGATAGTCCAATCTTTATGAAACCCATCAGTAAAAAAAATAAGAGTAATAAGTTAGAATATATGCTGTGTTACACTTGTAAGAGATTTAAACTCTACATCACTGGACAACCAATCCTTCATTCAATGTTCAACATGAAAGTCAAAAAAAATAGAAAAATCACCAACACAAATTTAAGTGACAGAAAAAAAATTGACTCACATATCACCGGTTTCCATAATGCTGTTGTTCAAAGATGAAAAAGATACAGTAGAACGTCGTGGTTTCGATGTATTGCTAGTATTAACTGTTGAACCGTCTTCTCTTTTACACAATTCAATTGGTTCCCCATAAAGTAGAATATTTTCTTCGTCAGTTATGCTGATTACATGCTCACGTTTGCTAATCATGCAACAAAAAGAAAGTTTTGCATGTAGGTGTACATTAAGTTTGTCAAACAAAATTACAATTGATTAAGATTATTTGCACTAAACAGGTGAAGATTGGTAATACAAGTCAAGAAAATTAGGTGTTAATGAAACTAGGGTAGTAACAATCGGAATACTAACAACATATTTGAAAGAATTATTATTGAGATGCACTCTGAACGTTCAGTTCATATTCAACGATACCATCTAGAGCCAAAAAGATGGTATTGCAATGGGATCTCCGTTGGGTCCACTACTATCAGACTGCTTCATGGCAAGCCTTGAGAGAGGTGCACTAAGGCCGAGCATCGACAATTTGCGACTGTATAAAAGATACGTGGATGACATTTTCATTATTTTTGACAACAACGATGACCCCAATCTACTACTGAAGACATTTAACTGTTGTCATCCAGCAATAAAATTCACTCATGAAATAGAAAACGAGTCAAAAATTCCGTTTCTTGATGTGAAACTAACAAGAAGAACTGATGGGAGCCTAAGAAGATCGATCCATAGAAAACCTACGTGGAATGGTCAACTAACAAGCTTCTATAGCTGGGTATCCATTCAACAAAAGCGGAATTTAATTAAATCACTTGCCGCCCGCATCCGACGCATCTGTAGTCCCGACGTTTTGGAAATAGAATTAGATATTCTAAGGGAAATCTTCATCCAAAATGGATACTCAATAAGATTCACCGACGAAAATATGAAACCAATAATCCAGAGAAACGAAACTTTAATTGCGCCTAAAAAGAAACTCTACACGGACTTGGATTTCAAGGGATTTCGCAAGCGATATTTTCAAGAAATTCACATCATCTCTGAGAAGAACATTCTTTGCAGCAACGCTAAGAATAGTGTTCTCCAGTCGCCCACTGATCTACAGAAGCCTCAAGGACAAGATCCCGCATCTGGCCACTTCAATGTACATAAATCAGTTCACCTGCTGCTGTGGAGCCAGGTACATCAGTCGTTCGACGCGCATCCTGTCCAAGAGGATTCAAGAACACTATCCACAGCATGGCTGCGAAAAGGTGATAGTGGTGCAATAAGGAGTGTGATAATTGAACATCTGGTTAACTAACACTGATCATTCCATTTCAACAAACGCCACCTTTAAAGTAATCTACAGAGTCAATAATAACCTATCAAAGGCAATACGGTTTCGTCTCCTTTGTATCGCTGAACCTCTGGCAATTCACATAGAAAAACCATAGCTGTGCATACAAAAGAAGATTACTCAACCACTTCTACTGTCATGGTAACAATTTTTTTTCATTTGATTTGAGCTTTTTGATTTTGATGACTTCATTTTAGTTTCTTTGCCTGTTCTTTGATTGCTTATAATTCTTGTATTCATTTAGAACTCTTACATAATTTCGTTTTATCTACTTTTTTTCTATGTGCATCCTGAGTATAACTCACTCATCAAACTATTCATATTATTATTACATAACTTCTTTTAACAACTGTTTGTGACAAGTCATCAACTTTGTTACTACCCTAGTTTCATTAACACCTAATTTTCTTGACTTGTATTACCAATCTTTACCTGTTTAGTTAAAAAGAAAGTTATCAAATAAAATAAAATAAGTCAATGAATAAAAAACACAATTTGTTGAACACTAACAAATAATAAAACTGAAGTAAATACATACTCTGTTGAATCATAATTTGGTGTAGTCAATCCAGATTCATGCAATGATGCATTTGTTAAACCACTAAATGATTGATCCAGTGAAGTAGTTGTAGTATGTAAATTGAAAAATGAATTATCAGCGGGTAGACCTTTACATGCCCAAAGCCATCGAGCTAAATGTCCAGCACGATCATGATAAAGACTAAAGCAAAGCGGTGCAGATACCTTGAAAATAAAGTAGTAGATAAAGAAATATTATCATATAAGGAGGTACAATAAATGTTACAATGAATATTCAAGTGTTGGTTTGTAGGGTTTTGATTGGTTACAGGATTTCATCATGAGCTGACATTAGTTAGAGAACCATTGGAAAACCACCAGGGAGTAGTGGACAGCTGTTTCGTCCTAGTTTGGGACTCTTCAAAAGTACATTGGCTAGGGGTCGCGCTATGTCGCGAATTGGCAGAAGTTAGAATTCAAGAACCATTGGATCGGGTCCCAGTGGCTCAATGGTCTACGAGCTCGCTGGCCTTGTAACCAGAAGGTCCTGGGTTCGAACCCCGGTGGGTACGTACTGCTGAAGAGTTCCAAATTAGGACGAAACAGCTGTCCAGTACTCCCAGGTTTTCCAATGGTTCTCTAACTAATGTCAGCTCATGATGAAATCCTCCATGCAATCAAACAAAAATGCCTACAAAACCAATACTTGAAAATTCAAATAGTACTTTTGTTCATTAAATGGAATTAAAGAAATGACCGTTAGATGCGTGTACAGGTTTTTGTAAATTAAATCTTGAAGGGACTTATTATTTGCCTTGCGTAAGTTTTTTAAACAAGAGATAAAGGCAAATACATGAGGGTACGATTTCGACAGCATAGTATCAATATACTTACACCATGGGAAGCGATTTTGAGTCATAAAACCTATAAACACCTAATTTTTGTCTTACTGACACAGAGGTACCTACATTTTAGAGTATATCTTAAATAAACACCTGTGATTACATGAAGACGTGGACTTCGCGGACGATTTACATTTAATTTCATACATACTAGAATATCTATCTATAGGCGAAAAAAGAAAAAGAAAGTTGGCATAAGAAGAACTTCAAGTAAAGGCAGGGAAGACAGGAATGATGACGACACCTAACCAACAACAAGAAGCGGTAACTATAGCCAACGGGAGAAATTCGAAGGTGGTTACCCCTTGTAATCACCACCTGGGCAGCATCAATTAAACTACAGAAGGTATGGATGATGTCAAAATCAGGTTTGAAACGGCATGACAGATCTTCATTGACCTGAAATCAGTCTGGAAATCTACTGTACTAAGTATAAAGAACAAGATTAGGATTTTTAACCCTGTGTGGTCTAGAGACTTGACATATCACCAAAAGTATTACGAACAGGCTTTACATTTCATCAACGCCTGCCTTCGTTCCATATCGAAGACTAGATGGCCAGAAAGGATAAACAAACAACAAGGAACTCTGGCAACGTATCGACCAAGAACCCATAACCAAACGAATATGAAGAGGAAAATGGGTATGGATCAGAGAAATTGAGTGATATCACGAACCCCAGGCTCTCGGGTGTAGCCCGAGTGGGGAGGCACAGGCTGGACGTGGGTCCTAGAGTTTCATGAAGGAGATGACGGCTTACAGACAATTATGGGGCAAACTAAAGAAGACTGCGAAAACAGGATTAAATACAGATATGCTGTTGAAGCCAGATGTTCCACTCAAAACCTAAGGGATTATTCTTAATAATATTCATTCATGGAATGACCACTACTTTACACAGTCTAGACTTATGCACATTAGAAGATGGTGAGATATTTGAAGTACATGATCAAATGCATCAGGCGGTGAAAAAAATGAAACGAAATTTACTATTAGTAAATAAAACAGATAATCGAAATATTTAAGATGATCAGGGTCAACAGGAATTAAGGTGAAATAAAACTACAACTCTTCAGGACTCGAAAGGTTTGAAACCCCGTGAAAATATGTACACCTACACCATACACAGGAAAACAGAAGCATCAATCAGTCACTATTTGCACGGCAGGCTAGGATAGCAACAGAAGCTCGACTTATTTCTTTAGAACACAGAGCACCAATTGTTTTAGGGGGGAATTGCAAATTAGTTGTTTTACATTTTAATGAGCATCTTTAAACAATCAAAAGAAAATTATTAAAATTGATATTGAAAATAAAAAGATAGAATTTATATTGACTTACCTGTCTAACTTTTGGTCTTAGAACTTCTAAATGAACTGTAGACACTGATTTAGCTGGTTGATCCCCATATTCATCAACAAGTGTAGCTGTAATAACCTTATTATTCGCCTTTTTATTTGGACCAGATTTATTAATTTCATTGGGATTTTTCAACTGTACTAAAAATAATTCATCATCTTCTGTGCATAACAAGACATAAGGATCTGCACAACTTGCTAAATGTACACGCCATTCTAATGTTACTTGAATGTATTCGATGAGTTTTGGACCATCAAGTAAGCGTAAAGATGTTGGTGAAACCTAAATTGACGATAGAATGAAAAAATAAAAAAGCTATGACTGCTTAGATGATGATGTATCGTGTTTATTGAAGTTGACCTAGGGGTCATTGAAATACAGGTTTATTTCACTAATTAATATATGTGTAAAACATGGGCACTGTGGTAGTAAGTAATGCCTTATTACTTTGCTTATTAGATGTATTACACAGTGAAACAGTATTATTTAATGGATGACGTTTCGAACAACATTTATTGTTCATAATCATACCAATTACAATCACACGACTTCGAAACTTGAGTTTTATAGTTTTCCTTATTCTCCCCTATTTGTCGTAGGGGTAATAGAATTTTTCAGATATCCGGGTAGACAGGTGTTGAATCATTCCTCTTACATGTATTTGCAGTTGATTCAATAAACAAAGCTTCCGTTATCTATCTCTGCCTCCCTCCACTCTGTTACATTAGATTTTAAAACTGTCATCTTATCCCAACCAGCCTATTGCATGGTTGTGTGTAACTGCATGTAGTGAGTGGTATAGCTGAACTATTCTCTAGATTTCTTATCTCAGTTGGGTCAAGCAATCTAGATTTTGCTAGATTTTAATGATCGGCCAGTCTGACTGTCATCATAACTTTTCATGTATTTGACCTGACAATCATTGCAGGGTACTTTTTCTCCTTTCTATAGTTTTGGTTTGTAAGGATTAGTTATGTTTTACGAGTTGATCACGGATTGATATCAGTTAGAGAACCATTGAAAACCAGGGAGTACTGGACAGCTGCTATTTCATCCTAGTTTGGGAATCATCGGGAGTACGCACTCACTGGGATTCGAACCCAGGACCTTCCGGTTACAAGGCAAGCTCGTATACCATTCAGCCACTGGGACCCGATTCAATGGTCAGTCCATGAATTCTAACTTCTACCAATTCGTGATTTAGCGCGAACCCAACCATTGTCATTGGTGGGACATCCATCCACACACGTGACATCTAATTGAACCTCAATGGTCACGACTTCTCACTAGAACTCAGGAAACTCCAACCTGTAGCAAGTCACTAGCGAGCATCAGATTAACTTTTTATAGTTTTGGTTTGTAAGGATTAGTTATGTTTTACGAGTTGATTACGGATTGATTCCTTCACGTTCCCCAGTGGAACATAGGGCTTCAAGCTAATGACTTGAAGTTTCTGTAGCAGTGTTTATTTTTACAGGATGGGGTTGCTAGCCCCATGCCCAACCTTTCCTTTTTACCAGCATTATTTCTGACTTAGCGAGGTAGAGGAGTGAGTCGGTCGGGGATCGAACCCCAGACCATGTGCATGGGTGGCGAGCGTTATAACAGCTGTGCCACCGACGTACTATTGCAGGGTATTAGATAAACTAAATTGTTTTGTTTTAAAGGCTCCACAGGATCCTTTAACCGACGAAGCTTGTTTCTAATTGAGTTTGTGGGTTTGAATAGCAGCCACTTTTATTCCTGGCTTGTTAAGAATTCTGCGTAAGGTTTCACTAAGCAGTCGACCGAATAAGAAATAACGAGAAATACAATAAACATACCAAAGGACATGAGGAAAAGGCAACTAAGTAAAGGTGATAAAGACTGAATATACCAGCACCACAGTGGTTGATTTAAAGCCACATTCAGAAATCTATTCCTAACATCCAGAGGATGACAATCAAGTAACTTGTATATCACTACGTAGCTTAAATTAATAATCACAGATATTATGGTCTGATGCCACGTGTTCATATGGCCATTCATTAACTCTTCTGACTTGAGTTCCTTAGGTTAACTAACATCGAGGTTGAAGAAAGTGATATTTTTTTATTATGCATATCACATATTGTACCCACCATTGGTTGAAGATCTATTAATCCATGAATTTCTTTGCCTATGTCTAATTTACTTGCCTTTTCGTTCTAATTAACCCAGTAAAGAAAAAGTAATCTGTTCATACTTTCCCCTTTCAGAGGTTATATCTGCACACTACCTTTGGCCAACGAAAGGTAACTGAATACCTTACTGATGCCTAACTTCATAGAGGTTGGTTAATGTCGTGTTGAGATTTCAGCAGGCAATCCACTGGACTTGATGCAACTTCACATATATAAGTACAGTATTTGAACGTTTACAACAAAAGATACATACTCATAAAAATGCAGTTAAAATATCTCATTAACAACAGCTATTTCTTGGTGGGCGGTGATCAGTAGTGGAAACCAGGAGATGCATTTCGTCCTATTTGAGATCCATCATCTGGATGTATCAGGATTCCCCAATAAATGATGATTTTCCCGCTAATACTCTAACCCAGTACCCATTGTTCCAAATGTCAAGGAGTAATCTACGAGACCATTTAGGCCACGACAGCAACCTCTTGTGAAACAAATAAACCCTAGGTTACTTGTGATATGATAAAACATATATAATAGTTTATACGCACATCCACAATAACAAATACAAAGATAAACAACAACAATATTCTACCTGTAATATATAGGGATAGTCGATCCCTACAACATAGTCTTTCAGAGATTTAGCCTCATCTTGCACAGAGAGCTTAGTTGGTGTTGCATGTGTTGGTGACAATATGGCGTTATTCTCATCACCACCGACTTTATCCACTTCCTGTTTAGCCTGTTTGATATATTCAAAACCCAAATTGAATGCACCAACTGTCATCTCTGTAGTATTGAATCCACTAACTTCGAGTTCAACAATTTCATGGCTAACTTCCAGAATCTTTAGAAAGGAAATGCAATTCAACAAAATGCTTTGTATAGTAACTGACTCGTAATGGATATTAATACTTTAAAAGAAAATAGGTGAATGAAATAGGAGTACAAAAAGTTCTGTCAATGCTGGTGAACACTGAATTGTTCGTTTGTTCGAATTGGTCTCCATTTGGAGGCAGACAAGACGATTATCATCTCTTAATTGTATACTGATTGGCAGAAGATTGGAGAAATACGATCAGAAATTTTGTTGTACATTATATTAACGTTTGTTTACAGGCTTTGGCACTGATTAACCAGTGTAAATCTGTTTCGTTACCGCTTGATGAATAAAAAATCGTGTTGCCAAACGGTTTTCTGTTGTTCTGCGTCGGTTACAGTGCATAGTGTTCTGCATATTAAGCTTAGTCTCTTGAAAACAGCGACAGATCCAGGATCTCACAGATCTGGATATTTGACAGCCTTCTTTTCGGAGGCAGTTTGAAAACAATCATAACAGCAAATTATGTGACAACACCAAAAATTGCCAAATACTGTATAACTGCCTTATTACTTTATAACTGATTACAGTGGTAGCCTAAATGAAAGTTTCACTCTATTCGACCAGTTGAATACATCTAAATCCCAAAGGATGATGATATTGTTTTCAGAACTCAAACTAAACACCTACTGTTTGAAATGTCATAGTATTAGCCATTACTTCGGTAAGTTGTTCGCATTTATTGAGACAGATTCATCACGCTGATTAACCTTTAATGGGACGACATACGTGCTCTAGACCTTACATGAAGCCGTTAACGAATGGATAACCATGTTCGCACTACATATAATACTCAGATATCAGTGGACAATATTCATATGTCAACAGACAATAACTAATGCAACTGAACGGTAATAATAATAATAATAATAATAGAATAAAGAATAGAGAATAATAAGCTTAGGAGGCCTAGAACAAAGTGGATGAGATGGAATTTGAACTTAGAAGCCATAAACGTTGAATGCTCAAATCAATGAATAGTAACACAGAACTCAGTTTGTCATCTGCAAATCGCTCAGTTCGTATTGAATATTCACCACGATTCGTTTTAAAAACCAAAATTATTCAAACAACAATATATTCTTTGCTTGGTACCACGAATAGTAGTCAAGAAAGTAGACAATACACAAAGATGGGATATACCACTGAGTGGTATGAATAGTTGGAGAAATCACTCACGTCAAACAGTAGTACTTGCCAGCAGGATCGAATTACCTGAAGTAACAGATAGCTGTTCAGCTAGTTTAGGGCTGGGTTCACCAGCAGTGGACTATGTTAAATCGTAATATGATGAAGGAAGCACATGAAAATACTATTTTGTTGCGAATGCAGTATAAGCTTATTTACGATGCCGATAAAGATGAGCCTTTTAATGGCAAAAAAAAACAGTTAACTGGCAAGTTTAACTCCGACCGACTGATAATACGATGACATATCAACGCGGTTCGTGAAGATTGTTTAGGAATCTCCGAGTCTAAGTGAATTAGCTGTGAATATTTCACAGTCAGGCTTAGTTACATTGTGGTGAGAGCTGTCTGCTAGCCAAAATTGTAGACACCAATTTACGTCAATGTTTACGTCCCTAATCAGGGGCACGGGATAAAACAATAACAAAGTCTAACCTTGGGGAACTCAACAATCAACCACAGCAGACTTAGCGTCGGCGAATACGATTCGCAGATATATCACCGAACTGTCTAAGAAACGGCAATCTTCAGCAGGAAAACAACCAATCAGAAGATGTTGCTTTTCTGCTAACAATAACGAATAATAATGTACGTAAAAATCCATAAATATCTGTTGATTTCCTCAATAAATGATCTGTTTCCTGGACCTTGTCTTCTGTCATTGCACCGTATTTTCCCATTGACTTTATTAAGAGACGTTTAAGAGCGAACCTCATAACTCTGAAAGAAGCTGAACAATTTCCATCCTAATCATGCGACCATAAATCTCCTTTATTATTTTAAAGTACTGCCTATCTTTTAATGTCAGATGTGATTTACCGATGACAGACAACTGATATCTTACGCTTTTACTTATGAAGAATCCAAGGACATAGAGAAAGTAACATGCATAATTTTTGGTAGTTTATCCATTGATTATGAAATAAGACAAATACCCTTTACGCATCTTACAAAGATATTAAATGAAACTCATTTGAAATGGGAAACCCTTCAGTTGTTATGATGTCTATAAATTACATTTACACATGAATAATTTCTATAGCCTGAATAATGTGTTTATATAATACAAATTCAACAGTGAATAAAGAATTCCTAATTGCCTGAGTTGGACGATAAATGAACGTTTGCCATCCAAGTGGAGTATAATCGCAGGAATTTTATTCATTGGCACTCAGTTATCAGGAACAAATTTCTCATGTAATAGATTATTAGCTGCGCTTATAGTGGGAGAGCTAATGGCACTATCCACTTATCCAGGCTGAAGCAGATGTAGTGGGTCTCGTGCACAAGATTCGCTGACTAAGCACTAAAGCAAATGATGCCTATCTTAAATCACTAAATGTATCACAACAGTTGGGATTAAACCGTATACTGAGTAATCCATCTAAAGGTTGCCATGATCATGTGCCATCTGTTTGCATATATCTTTAATGAAACACTTTTGCGAAATTCTTTACCTGCTGTTTGGAAAGGAATTTACAAATCCAAGTTCATATCTTTTAAAGCAAATGTGAAATTCAAACTGACTATGATTATTCCCTCTTTAGAACAAAACACTGGAAAAACCGTTGATACTTGTCTTTGAAACTTCATTGAAGGCCTTGAGTGATTTAAACTAGTTTCTATACAAACACAGATTTGATTTCGATGCTTTTATTGTTTCACAAAATAATTGTATCATTTTGATGTGGTTGTGTTCTCTGAGCTGGATAGTTAATTTACGATATGCCTTCCTAAATCATTCTTTAGAAAGGTCTTCTTTTGTTGTAGAAATTACCATTCATTGAGTGTAGTTATCTTGTAACACTGGGCTGGGTGATTTGGACAAGTGCTACGAATGTTATCCTGGAAGCTTCCGTACCGGTGGTCTCTGTTCACTAGCTCTATGACTAGATGGAAAAAGCGGACAGATAGTCAGGCTATGATGTAGCGCTGCGCTTTTCACCTGCATCCATCTTAGTCCATACTGTTTCAACTCCACTTCACACCATATCCTCCATGTCACCCTTGCACTGACGTCCCACTCGCCGCTTCCCTTTCGGGTTCCTCTCGAGCGATGGCCTGATGCGCGATGTCACCCAGTTCTCTCCTCAGCGAGTGTTTAATCCATCTCCACTTTCTCCTGCATATTTGTTGGGCGATTGGTTGTCCATAATGAACCCCAGTTTTGTTTTAAATAAATAAATAGCAATTTTGTGAAGTAAGCTGGTACTTTTAGTAACGGATATATCTTTCATTATTCCTACTACAATAGCTACTTAATTTACACTGAAGAGTAATCGTTTCTAAGTGACTTTCAGCTTAATTCATCTGAATATCAGATTTAATTTTAGTCATAAAAGTGGACAAAATCTGTATAATTTTACTGGAGGGTTTTGTACTAAAAAGTTATTAAAATGTATGTATTTTCGTTTATTATATTTCTCAGCTGGTAACTGATGAGAAATTACTATTATTATTATATCCTTTAATTTCTAGAGGAACATAGGGCTTCAGTCACGCGTCTCCATTGCCTTCTGTTTTCTGCCAACTTTTTCACTCCGCTCCAAGTCTGCCCACATGCTTTCATCTCCTCCTCACATGACCTCCTCCAAGTCACCATTAGACGACCAACTCGCCGCTTCCCCTTAGGGTTCTACTCGAGGGCTTTTCTAGTGATGTCACTTGGTGGTTTCCTCAGAGTATGGCCAATCTATCTCCATTTCTTCCTGCCTATTTGTTTCACAATCGGTTCCTGGTTGGTTCGCTCCCAGAGATCTTTGTTGCTGATCTTTTCTGGCCATCTGATCTTGAGTATTGAGCGAAGACAACTGTTAATGAAGGTCTGAAGTTTGTTGGAGATGGTCTTTATGACATGGCGCCAAGTCTCTGATCCATAAAGTAGCACTGACTTCACAATGGAGTTGAAAATCCGGATCTTATTTTTGATGCTGAGTGCTGTTGACCTCCACACAGACTTAAGGGTGATGAAAGCCTGAGAAATAATAGAACATAACTATTCAAAATATAATCCTTATTTAAAATAGTAATTCGAAATAGACATACCATTGTAGAGTCGTCTCTTGTTAGCAGAAGATAACTATGTTCCAAACCATCAGGTGAACCAGGCTCTGCAGCGACACCATTTATAGTTTTATTTCCATCTACATCAGGTGGATTTTCTGCCCCTTCAGACATTTTTAAAGTTTCTCCTTTTGCCATTTCTGCAACTAAAATAAAACAACAAAAGAGTTAATTAGATCAAAGTTTTGTGCGTCAGTGGTTCATTGGTAGCATGGTCACCAACCACGCGTGTGACCTCGGGTTCGATCATCGGTCGGCGAACTACTAAGCCTCGCTTAGATTTTAGTAAGCCCAGTAGAGAGGAAAGGTTGGGCGTGAGGTTAGCGAACCCCACCCCCCGTAAAAATAATAAACACCACTGCTAATGAGACTCTAAAGTTCTAGCTTGAAGTCCTATATTTTACGCACGCAAAAAATAAAAGATTAATGTTTTAAAACAAGCTGATGATAACTTCCACTGCGCATTTGCTCGTCGTAAAATATCCTATACCGTCTGTAACAGTGTATTCACTAAGACGTTAAGTCGAACACGAAAGTTAACTAGATGGTTTAAATACATATGAGTTTGAAGTTTACCTCCATAATGCAAAGATTTATGAATGTCTACATAAATCACTAGATTATATACACACTTCGATAATCAACAGACAGTTGTTCGTCTGTGTAGAAATAGGATGACATTGTTCAAAAACAACACGGGATTTTTATTGAAAAAAGAAATATTGAAAGAAGAATCGTTGCATTACACTATGCATACAAGATCAGTAACTCACTAAATTCAGCGACTTCTGGAAGTCTCTCAAGATTTTCATCAGTTTCCACTGGTGGTTCTACTTTGTCTTCATCAATCTTTTCTTTTTCATCCAGTTTTTTCTCTTCTTTATCAAGCTTTGGTGCTTTTTGTTTCTTAGGCAAAGAATCAGTGCATACAGTAGGGTCAGTTTCAACTGGCGCAGAATGAACAGGAGAAAGTATAGGTGGGCCATAAAGGGACCATAAACTCATATACTCAGGCAGTTCAAAAGCAGTTAGACCACGCGGTCTTACACTTGTATGTAAAAGTGCAATACCACCACTAGATAATGGATTTTTCTCCGTTGTAATACCGAATGAACGCGTTATACATGCCATTAATTCAACATGATGCAGTTCTGATTGTGCATGCGTAAGTGCTTCATCTGTAGGATCAGTATTACCAGGAGCTAAACATGGAACTTCACCACATGTTATTTGCCCCATTGGTCCAAGATTGATAAGTCGATCTACTGCCTAGAAAAGAAAACAGAAATACAAAAGGCACAGAATAAGCGAAAAGCGATCACACAGATTATGTAGTAAACATGTCATAAATGGCCAATCAATAAAATAATGTCAGTGGTACACACAACTATGATTGGCGGTGCCACATCCCTCGATACATCGTGAGCTTGTATGATGAATTCACTGCAAACGTATTTGATTACAGGATTTCATCATGAGCTGATATGAGTTATAGAACCATTGGAAAACCTGGGTGTACTAGACAGCTGTTTCGTCCTAGTTCGGGACTCTTCATCGGCACGCACCCACCAGAGTTCGAACTCAGGACCTTCTGGTTAAAAGGCTAGCGAGCTAGCTAAACCATTAAGCCACTGGGACCTAATCCAATGGCCTATGAATTCCAACTTCTGTCAATTCACGATATAGCGCAATCGCTAGCCAATGTCTTCGGCGAGTATTTGTCCTCACACCCGACCTGCTGCACCCTACTGGTCACGACTTCCCACTGGAACCCCAGGTAACTACCTACCTGAAAAGGGTTATTGTAACCAGAAGGTCCTGGGTTCGAATCCCGGTGGGTGCGTACTGATGAAAAGTCCCAAACTAGGACGAAACAGCTGTCCAGTACTCCCAGGTTTCCCAATGGTTCACTAACCAATGTCAGTTCATGATGAAACCCTGTAACCAATCAACCAAATCCCTGCAAACGTATTTGTTGATTAAAACAGCATTTTCGAATCCCAGTGTTAACAAACATATAACATCTAACTAACTGTGATTCATATGAAATGAAAATCGACGTTGAAACAATAAAAAGATTCATAGCTCAAGATAATAATGGGAACTGTTTAGTGACATCCTAGACTTGGCATTTCGATTGCAAACACTTTGTTCTCAAGCCCGGTAACATTTAGCGCTAACTTCATTCATTTAATGTTCATAATTAAGTTTAAAGGTTGGCAAAATCCAAATTGTCCTTAAACACAAAAAATAGGTATGGATAAATTTAAGTATTCTAAGGCATAACGAATTCAAGTTTTGCACACGTAAAACAATGGTATTGTGGCATACGCTACTGACAAGATTTATCAGTAGTACATAAAGAGACGTTCATCGGCACAGAAATATCAAATAGTGGAGAGATAGTTTTGACGTCAAAGAGAGAGGAAATGTGAACCAGTGTTGCGGCGAAACATGGGAGACACGAGAAGAAGACAAAGAAACACAGTACGAAGGGTAGAAGTCGCACAAGGAAAATCTATGCAAATGACGATTTTAAGATAAGGTGTACACAATTTGTCCACACAGAGATACCAAATTGCAAATAAACACTGCTTTACCAAGTTTCTTGCCTTTTACCATTACAGTACACCAGGAAAATAGTGCGACAAATAGAAGTGTTGGATAACCGTGTATCTACTTTTCAGCTTATTTCTCCGCAACCTTGTTGAATGGAGCTAATAGATTTGTGATAAAGTCGTAAACCTGGGTCCTAGGTGATATATGTCTGAATTACACACAAAAGACAAGTTTCTGGAGGATTAAAGATGTGCCTTACTATGAAGTGCTAACAAGAAAGGGGCGCAGATGAAGTAGCAATTCCTATTTAATCGACTCCTACTCAGGACTGGACTACATCGACGCCTAGTTTAAAAATAGGAAGTGAAGTGGTAGAGCACGTTAACCGCTTCACTTATTTGGGAAGTACCATCAGCCCCAACGGGTTGATCTCTGACGAAATCTCAGCACGAATACAGGGGGCTCGTTTCGCATTTGCCAGTTTACGCCGACTCTGGCGTAGACGAGATGTTCGACTATCGACCAAAGGGCGGGTGTACTGCTCATCAGTCCGCTCCGTCCTCCTGTATGGTTGTGAGACCTGGCCACTCAGAGTGGAAGACATGAAAAGACTAGCTGTCTTTGATCATAGGTGCCTGCGCTCTATTTCCCGTGTAAAGTGGCATAATAAGGTGAGCAATATTGAGGTTAGGCGTAGAGTTCTAGGTAAACAGGGGAAATCAATCGACGAAGTCGTGAAGTTACAAAGACTGAGATGGTTAGAACATGTGTTACGTATGCCAAGCCATCGCCTCCCTCGACGAGCAATGTTAGCGGATATAGGGTCAGGCTGGAAAAAGCTAGCGGCGGTCAAACAAAAACTTGGCACCAGTCAATGAAATCCACAACAGTTGGTCTAAGCCACGTAGGAAGGTGTAGACTTCCAGGCTGGGGTCCTCGGGACGGTAAAAATCTATGGTTGGAAACAATTGGTGAAATGGCTCAAAATCGTTTTCAGTGGCGCAGATGCATCCACTCCTTGTGACTTATGATCTCCAATGAAACTGTTTTGTATTTCTTTATTACTCCTTTGTCTCACCTCTGCTCACTGTTTCTATTATGCTTTTCTTGTACTTTCTTCTCTTGCTTCGCGTGCTACACGGAGTGTGGCGACTTGAACTTCCGCACATTTGTGCAAAGTTCTATGTCAAAAACAGACAGAGAGACTCCTACTCAGCGTCGAACGTCGATATCAAACATTACGCTTTTTGTCATTATAGAAACTAAAAATTATACAAAATATTTACTGCTAATAATCATGTTAGCTGATGAGTAAATTGATCTCTAACTTTAAAATTTCTGTGAAGCATATTCAAATGTTAAAGTTAAACGTCAAGTGATATAGACAATTGTTTCGTCCTAGTTTGAGACTCTTCAAGAGCACATTGAAGAGTCCCAAACTAGGACGAAACAGTTGTCCAGTACTCCCAGGTTTTTCAGTGGTTCTCTAACTGATGTCTGCTCATGATGAAATTCTCCATACAATCAAACAAAATCCCTACAAAACCAATACTTGATATAGACAAATTAAGGTTTATAAACACTATACCGAGTTAAAACATTTCAACAGAGGTGTACTTTAAGGTCGGGAAAACGTACTGCTATTTCGAAATGAAGTTAAGAGAGTTACATTTTTTTTTTAGAAATATGACTAGTATTTGTTTCTACCTAGAAATTAATTAATTGTTTATTTATTTATACTTATCATTAAAAAGAAAACTTAATCGTAGAACTGATGATAACGAAAAATAAAAGGAATTCGCTTACTTGAAAACTGTAGTTAACAATTTCTCGATACAACGATGGTGGATTAAGAATACTTTCACCATAGAGTTCAACATCGACTTCATCGAATTTGTAATAATTCTTTATTGCTACAGCACCATTATCTTCCGTCAAAGTTTCCTCGATGGTATTAGTAGTTGAATTCTCTTTACTTTCATCTTCTTTCTCCTTATTTTCTTCTTCTACACGAGGACATTTATTTGGAGGAGGAGGAGCCTAAGCGAAATGAAATACATCTTTGTTTTATCATTTATAGAAAATTGGCTAGATACAATTCACTGTTACTACCGATAGTGATCATATTACAGAAAGACAGTCAAACAAGAGATCATATATAAAAGTATAAAGGTTTCAGCTGCCACAACGCCATAGAAACGGAACCAAACAAATACGGAATGTTGAAGTGAAGGGATATAAATATAAAAGAAAAGGAATAAACAATAATTACTGAGAAATCTAATTAGTATAACATTCTCAACCTTAACGATATGCGAAAAATTGATTTAAGAACTTGGATTACTATGCGATCAAACCAGTTACTACAATGTGGATACCCTGTCTGCTTTTAGTTGTCTGTATATACAAAGAGCAAAGAAGCTAAAAGTGAAACGGTTGAATAAACAATCGACAGTAGGATTATCTGAGATAACCTTGAGTTAGTAGACTATTTTTGATGTAATGGATGATGACTGAAGATGAAATGAAAACCTGGACATTCGTACTAAGGGAGCCCGAATTAGTGGCCAGCTTCTCCACCATCTCAATTACCAAAGTCGACCTGCTTTTTTCTCTTTCATTCAATATGAATAGGATTTATGAGAATGGACTTAGCTAGGCAACAAGTGTGATAATAAACGGACAGTAAAATATCATTCATTAATATGACGACTAGGCATTACTCGGAACACATTATGCATACCAATAAATACGCCACACAAAACCTCATAGTTTCCGCAAGGGCTGGGGATACTGTCTAGATGACCAGACCGAAGCAGGTGACTGTCTTAAGGGGCCATTCCCACCACCAAAGCGTTCGATTTAAATTCTGATCCACAAGACAGTGGGGCAGCGTCAGGGACTACGTCTCCATGGTTTTTAGTGACCAAAATAGGTTCATAAGGTGCTCGCAATGCATTCGATTTCCGTACCTCATGTACACTATAGGCTTGAAATCAGAGTTTTCCAGCTCCTCTAAGTAAACCAGTACATCCTTATGGGGTTTGGAGTGAAATGATAACCTGGTAGGATCTCCTAAGTTAGCTGCAAGAGCACCATACCAGTGATTCAGACGTCATTAATTGATAGTCATCAGTCGGAGCGGTGAAAACAAATATCACATCTATTTAGTCAACTGATGAAATTCAGAAGTTGTAAATTATTATTATTTTTATAAGCAATTGCAAAGAACAAAGGTAAAATAACTTAGTAAACATTTATTATTAATATTATTATTGAATGGTACGCTAACCTCGTCGTCTTTATTTTCTTCAGTGATACTGTCCTTAGTTGTAACAATACCTCCATCTGTATTGTTAATATCAACTTTGTTCCCTTTTACATCAACACATAATAAAGAATAATTAATTTTCATTAAAATTGAATCACAAAACCGTGAACCAATAAATAGGTAGTCCGATTCTAGTAAAGCCATCTGAAAGAAATGGAAAAAATAGTGATAATAAAGAAAACAGATACATTTGTCTATATAGTGTGATAATTATCGGAACTGTTATACATGGCCTAAGTGTAGAACTACAATTCGAAACATTACAGTTTTCATTTAAAGTTTTAACTCAATAACACAACAATTACACTTGGTTAAGTAAAGAGTATGAACCACTTATCGATATCAAAGTACGTCAAGTGAGGTTTAAATTCAAAATTCTATCAGCCACAGCTTCATTATTTAGTACTTTTATTAAAGTTACTTCATCTCTATCTTCGTTAATTTTAGTATTTTTATTCAGTTGCTAGATGGTATAATTTGAAATAACCGGATTCTCTGCGATATTTCATAGTATGTTTTGAAGTAACTGACTCACCTACAAGCCAATCTATCTTTTGTAAGTACTCATAAAATGTCCAAATAGTTTTATATGAGCACTAGTCAAGACTTCATACTATAGAGCTAGGATAATATTCTCTATAGAGGAATTATAGGAAGAATTCATGATTTTCAAAAAAAGATACTGAAAAACAACGGTTACCTTCAGAGGCTCATTAACAAATATGCAAGATGTGAAGGCTCAAACATCAAATAAATAGCAGTGCGAAAAATGCTTATCTTCATTCAACTCGATTTTAAAGGTAAAAATATTTCAACAGAAGACTGAGGACGTCACTAGCCATAGCCTATCCTGCAGTTGGGCTGGTTCTCATCTATTGGATAACATGCTCTTTGGTGCAATCAAAGGTCAATAGGTACCCTTCTCATGTTAACTCTAACTGCGTATACAAATTCACGTGTATTTGTGAGAGCAGTTACATTGACACAGCAGAAAGAAGGGTGCACCACTGATCTTCTGAACATATACCAAAACGACTATGTCACAAGGGAACAAATGCTTTCAACAGTGCCATTGCTAGGCATCTCTTTTATACGGGTAGAGTCATGAGGTGGAAATAGAAAAATCCTTCAATATTATCAGTAGACAGAAAAGCTTAATTCTCCTCGAGTTAGCCGAAGAAATCTCTATCACACGCCTGAAACCCAGTTTATGTGTTCAGAAAGAAGCAGTTATCAGTCTTTCCTTGCCACCCTGGTAACTGGATGTCATTATTCTCTCCTTCATTTGATAAGGTAATCTTTGGCTTTAACATCACCGCCCCCTCCCTTGATAGAGTAATTTTGCTTGTCTCTTATTTCTATGATTTGAGTTGAACTCAGTACACTGTTACCCAATTTATTAGTTACTCATCATCTTACGCACCTGTCGTCTTTACGTAGTTCTATCAGTGCATGCACACATTTACTTTGTTCAAACTTGAATTCCTTGTGCAAAATCTATATAAGCGTAAATTTTTGAGCACTGTTCACTAAGTTCGGAACTTTCTGTCAACTGACATCATGTAAAATTTGCAAGTATGTTAAAACTTTTCTGTACATAAACTTCATAATAATCTCACTTAGGCTGTAAAGCAGCTGAGAAGTCAACGAAATAAATGATGGTACTACATTATTCTGCAGAAACCGTTGTTCTTACTTTATACAAACTCATAAAATGTTTAGCAATTATATAAACACAAACAGCATACGCGATTAAACAGCTTATTATGATATATTAATTTTAAGACACAAAAATTTCTGTTTCTAGATAAATGAAAATAGTTAGTTTACTGTAAACCAGTCTTAACTTATTAACGAAATGACATAGTCCTGTTAGGGGAAGATGCTGACAAAATGCAGTCTTCTGAACACCTTGAGCAGCAATCTTCGTATGTTTGGCATGCGATTCGCACCAGCAAAATGTAAGATGCTGCTACAGGACTGGACCACGTCAACTCCTAGCTTAGTGATAGGGAGTGAAGTGATAGAACATGTTGACCACTTCACCTATTTGGGAAGTTGTATTAGCACCAACGGACTGATTGGCGACGAAATCTCAGCAAGGATCCAAAAAGCTCGAGCTGCTTTCGCTGACTTACACCACCTCTGGCGTAGGCGTGACATCCGGCTATCAACCAATGGACGTGTGTACTACTCAGCAGTTCGCTCCGTCCTTCTCTATGGCTCTGAAACATGGTCAATACGCGTTGAAGACATAAAAAGGTTGACTGCTTTAGATCACAGATGTCTGCGATCCCTGTCTCACGTTAGGTGGTTTCACAAGGTAAGTAATGTTGACGTTAGGCGTAGAGTGTTGGGCAAAGAGAGAAAATCAATCGACGAGGCTATAAAGTTACATAGATTGAGATGGCCAGGTCACGTGGTGCGCATGCCTAACCATCGCCTCCCCCGACGGGCGTTACTAGCTGATATATGTGCAGGTTGGAAAAGAGTCAGTGGTGGCCAAGCAAAAACATGGATGTCATCAACCCATGAAATCCTTGACAGTTAAACTGAGTAAGGTAGGGAGATGCAGACTTCCGGGTTGGGGCCCTCGGGACTCTAAGAATCAATGGCTGGAGACAATAGGTGACATGGCTCAAAATCATTGTCAATGGCGCAGATGTATTCAGTCTCTGTAATCTTTCATATTCCTTTCTACCATTACCCATTCTGTTTCACTCTTATACTTGTCAGACTTTATTGATTCCCTTCACTCATCTTCTTGTCTACCTCTGTGTGCTATTTGAAACGTGGCAACTCGAACTGGTGCACTTCGGTGCCAAGTTCTATGTTGAATCCAGACAGAAAGACAGAACGAAATGTTCAAATGTAGCTTTAAAATAACCCCAAACTGTTTCGTCGAATGCGGGAAATTACAATTTCCTAAGAGTTACGCAAAACAATAACACAACCTAATTAAATGGTACATATTTTTATGCATTATACTATGAGACACTATCCAAGCTCAAGTCACTGAAATGACATTGAAACTCGAGATCCAATAGTAGCAAAGTGAGCAGTTAGATAAATTATACCTCAAGGGTTTTGCTGAAAAGTACATAATAATGCCATGAATTATTGGTGCGGAACGGAAATTACTTTACGGTACTGAATTCCTTAAAAAAACACTTATTGAAATTAATGTTCCTCATTAATGAGTGAAAGTATTACAAACTTACACAATGAGGTGGTACGGCTTGACCAACTTCATGAAATAACAAACTTGTAACAGTTTGAGTAGCTTCCTCTAACCAAAGTGATAGTAGGTACAGATTGCCAGATCGTGTTCCAATTAAAAATTGTGTTTCATTCATTCTAACTACACGACAACCATCAATAGTTAGTGGACCACAGGATGGAACATCCTGACCTATGATTGAAAAAGAAGAAGACAGAAAACTTCCTTGCTTTTAAACTGGAAGAAAATTTTGAATAAACAAGCTATTGGATTAAGTATATTTTTCCGTGTGTTTTCTTCTGTGCTATTTGTGAAACAAAACACTTAGAAAAGAGCATAGATACTCAATGAAGCTACTTTGTTAGTCCTACAACTTAATGTTAACTGTTTTTCGAGTAAGGCAGTGAAACACGACAAAATATACAAAAGTGACAGAGTTTAAGCTGGTGTCATTATAAAAGTAGAGAAAGAGGAAAACTCCTATGATTGTTTCACAACCAGTGATCATACCTTGCAGTCATAGAAAAACTGTTGCGCAGCAACCCGCTTCTTTATATGGGACTGAATATCTCAGCAATGCTGAAGATAGAAAATGTTTGGTAATGTGGAAAATCTGCAAATGCATCCCACTACTTTACTCTCCCATCTTACACTAGGGCTTGGTGAAGAACGACAAATCCTGTAGCATCACCTTGCATCTTATGTTTGGAGAAACTTTGATTCCTGCTCAATGTATTCGGTAAACTTCGGGTTTTGTTTACGTCTTCTCTGCGACGTCTAAATCATTTTACTCATTTGCTAGTGGCTAAGTTATGAGGGAAACAAATATATAGTCTTATAACTTATTCATTCAGCCAGTGTAATGCATATTTTTGGCCTGCTCCCTTCTAGGATAAGGAAGAATGTCCGTCTAGTAAGGGTTACAAAAATTGAGAATCTCAAATGTGTTGGGAACTAATGAAGTGACTAAAAATGTTGCGATCAATAACTGCAAGGTTTTCAAATGAGTTTTCGTGTCTAGAGTTTCTCTTAAACATATAAACTAAAAGTTATTTTATTATGATCCAGTAAACTTCTGATTTAAATTCTAAGCAATAATTAAAACTTCATACAATTTGTCAATTTTGCGTTGGTGGCATAGCGGTTAGGACGCTCACCAACCATGCACATGGTCCGGGGTTCGATCCCCGGCCACCGAAGCACTCCTTCACCTCGCTAAGGCAGGAATAAAGCCGGTAAAGAGGAAAGGTGGGGCATGAGGCTAGCAATCCCAATCCTGTAAAAATAAACACTGCTACAGAAACTTCAAGCCTCTAGCTTGAAGCCCTATGTTCCACTGGGAACGCAAAGGAATAAAAAAAGAAAAAAACAATTTGTCGAGAAATTACTGAACTGGAATCATACCACTACGTGAATTGTTTTGTGAGGTAAATAAAAATTTCCCCATAATAGGCATGACTGCAAATCAGACTTCAGATATCACCTAGTATGTATAAAAATAATGAATAATTGCAATAAGCATCCGATAAGCCAACAGAAAGAACAGACGATAAGTATTCTTAGATGAATTACCAAAAGTCAACATATAAGAAGCTTAGAGAACAACAAAACAGACGATGAAAGAAAAATAAAACTCACGCATTGGAAAATTGGTTGATATTTGTGCGTAACAATTAAGTGGTAGTCCACATGATGGAAGAGTCTGTTTTAAATACATAATGGAATTCGTTGCCATGATGAGGACTCCACCTGAAAAAGAATATACAGCCATAAAAATACAGTATAAATAATTTATTATTGTCAAAGACATCGAAAACTACTTAGCAGAATATTCTGATTTACTACGGACGTACACATAAGCTAAAGCAGTTGATTAATGTTGACTTTAGATACGCATTTAGTTGAGTGACACAATTTTTAAGTAGTATAATATCAGGTACAACTGACGTGATAATTTACTTCTACGCAAACGGGCGTTCTATTCTTTGCATGAATACATATCCAGCCAAACAAGCAATAGTCTGTTAACTGAATGATAATGAAAACTCTACTAAACACACAAGCCTACAGGAGCTAAACTTAATGGAAGTAAGCATATTTAATTCTACATATTCTCAGCACAAAGAAACAAATATGTGAGAAAAACAAAGTAATGAAACCTTTTATCATATAGGTGAAAATCAAAGTAGGCTTCTAAGCAAAAGTTTTTTCCTCGACAGTGTACTTTTTCCATGCACACACTTGCACATTCATAAAAAGTGTATGAACTAACAAAGGCAGGTGGATTAAGTCTGCCAAGTTTAAAAAAAAACGTAATAGTTACATTATTAAAATAAGCGACTAAATTAATAACATTTTAACATCCCATATAATGCCTGCCGAATTTTAGTAAGAAAACATAAACACATAATATCTGGTATATTGATTTAGGCATACAGTTAAGTTCAGTTCACAACGCAATACATAAACCTGTAACAGATCTCTGGAAAAAATGATAAGAAGAAACTTGGTCTCAGCTGCTACTTATAACCCGAAATCATACAAAACACAGTATTTCTCATTTTATTATTTTTGTACAAAACTTCCTATTAAGTGAAAAAGGGATTAATGAATTTCATGTGCATCGTCTGGAATCTGATTCTATAGTGAACATTCGGTTCGATTAAGCACAAAGATTACAATATCGATTTAGTATCTGGACGTTCACTGAGACACTGGCCTACTTTTAACTTATTTGTACTTAGGAGCAGCTACAAAAAATACAAGGGAAAGAAACAAATCCACAACATGGTTTGCCTCTTTTCTGAACAATAATAATTACCTTTTAAAGTAGCTTAAAAATTTTAGCCATACTATAATATTACAGGTTTCGTCAGCGACGTCAATGATTAACTCATTAGGCACTTACTGTTTCGAGCCTAACATGGGAATTTGAATTTGCAGCACTTGCTGGTTATACTGGCACTTCAATACTGATTTGTACTAAGTGACTCTTTTATTTTTGACTCGTGTTGGGTTATCCAGAATTTATTACTTATTACTACCAACCAAAGCAAAATTACTATTGGTCGATATAAACCATTTGATCTAGAAATCAAACGGTAGTACATATGCTGCATTTATTGTTTCTTACTCGACGAAATATAGTGTCAAGCAGGTCATACTTTAATGCGGGAAAAAACGCAAGTAACTAATTGCATTCTAAGATGTATAACTGTGCCGTATCATTTAGCTTAGTGACCACATTGCATACTTGATTAATAGATTCTAATCATGAATAATAAGGACTAATAGTAGTTATCACCTGGTGACCAATCAATCCATGTACTTATTACTCAGCATTGTATTTCATTTTTAATCAACTTTTTTATTACAAACTACATTGCTTTTTGACAATATTTTTTGAAAGTAATTTATTATTTTAAATCATTTGAAAATAATCAACTAACATGAATAAGAACACAGTTGCCAGTCTTTGAAAAATGATATTTTTGACATTTTAACTATTATACCCACATTCTGTAATTCACTACATGAATAAGAGTAAATTCTAATCAAATACTTATAAATATTAAATACAGAGTATATCGAGTGAACAAATTAGGTTTCTTACCTATTGGTTGAGGTATGGAAAGTACGGAATTACAATCATATGGTAAAGATTCCTGAAACCATATAACTGGATTGGTACGTTTTTGAAGATTAAATGACAGTGCAACAATGCAACAGGTATCTCTCCTAGCTGAAACTCGTCTGAGTGAGAGTAAAATTCAAAGTAAGTAACATACCCCGCCCATGTACCAATAGTTTCATATAAAACCAGTAATGTTGGCTCATAAAATCCATGAAGAAACTGCATATCAATGACATTGTTTATTTTCTCTCCGGTCGATGTACTTAAACAAGTTGTGAAGGTGGCTAGCAATGGTGCTGTTGCTCTTTGTTGCCACAAAATTGAATTTCTTGCACCAATAAGTTTTGGTTCTGTTTCTGCGGGAATGAAAACTTCTGTACGTCGAAACGGTAAAACAGCTAAATGGCGATCATATACCAGCATAACTGCACATCGTTGATGGGGATCCAATCTTAAAATAGGTAACTTCGTGAAGTGAATCCGACCAGACTATGGATGAAAAAGAATAAAAACAACTTATCCATACATGTGCAAGGACATACTGGAGGGGGTAACAATATGAAACATGAGTACGAAGAAACCGAGGAATCGCTAAGATCTTAGCTTGAAACTGTCTGTCTCTGTCTGTCTGTCTGTTTTCGACATAGAACTTTGCACAAATGTGCGGAAGTTCAAGTCGCCACATTCCGTGTAGCACGCGAAGCAAGAGAAGAAAGTACAAGAAAAGCATAATAGAAACAGAGAGCAGAGGTGTGAGACAAAGGAGTAATAAAGAAACACAAAACAGTTTCATTGAAGATCATAAGTCACAGGGAGTGGATGCATCTGCGCCACTGAGAACGGTTTTGAGCCATGTCACCAATTGTTTGAAACAAACAATGCAGACGATGAATGTCTGTTTATAAGTCGAAATTGACTAACAATCTACTTTAAATATGCAAAAAACCATTCAGTAATAAGATTTGATGGTGTCAAATATTCCCATATTATGAATTATTATTATTAGTGATATTATCTGTTTTCTTAATATATGCCTCCACCTGTTTCATTTAATATATTCGTTATCTCACTATGATCCTCTCATTCCAGTCTTACTATATCTTCTGCTTAACTGAGACCACTTTGTAGTAGCCACTCACCTGACGCCTTTTACAACCTTGAACTAATTTGTCAATTTTCCTACCCCACACTCTACAATTCTATTTTTAATGATTAATCACCACCATTGTCTCCCGTTTTACAATATTTCTAATCGATTTCAGCCTAGCACGTTTGCCACACAAATATGACTATTTATTTTGACACTGCATAACTAATCTGTTATTTTACGTTAAAAATGTATCCGCCGCATAACTGCCCTTTATTGTAACGACCACAAATACTATATTTTATGATTGTAAGAACCTGAAGAGAAATTATTGAAAAGAAGTTCAGATTGACTTTTAATTCATTCAGTAATAATTTAACATATACATAAAACTTGACTGTAATAGACTTTTATGTGGTCACTATATGAACTATCAGAAGGATGAATAGTATGTAATTCCTGTTAAGCAATGAATAATATGATAAAACAGCCATAATTAAGTGGTACCTTACAAAATTTAGTAACTGTTTGTCCTTTCAGTTGTCCATCACTGACGGTGCTGATGAGAAACGCTATCAAAGTGAGAGAAAATTAAGTTGGTTGATTTCTAAAGATCTACCTGTCACAAGATCATAGTCATTAACTGATCTTTCCATTTCACCGATGATTTCCTAAGGTGCAGGTTTCGCTAGCAAGTATTAGTGGTTGGTGAAAGTAGTTTTCAACTGCACATGGATTAATCTTCCTTAAAATCCTTGATAACTTTTTTCTCATATCGGTTTACTTCAGGTTACCCTGTAATGTTCTAGAAGGTTGGAAGCATTCTGTAACTCTATAGTAAGGTTATCATTCTATCTTCAAGAAGCGCTGATGTAACATTTGTGAAAGCCAATGAGTTATTAGTTCATTACCAGTTATTACATACTTATCTGAATTTTTAAATACCCTGAAAAAAAATTTATGAAGATCTAAGTGGGTTTCTCCTACACTGACGAGGTAGTTTTCTGAATACAATCAGAGATACTACAGACTACTGGTTCTATTTTCTAACATTAAATTGTATTTGAATCATTAAAGACGACTAATCTTTGAAAATCCGTCAGAAACCTCCATGAAAAAACTCTCCAAGTAGTGTGAAAGCTTATAAAAACCTGTTACCACTGCGAGGACTAGAAGGGGTTGCTAAGTTTTGCTGTTTCTTTCTCACGTTTTCATTGCTAACATACTGCAGAAAACCCTAAAGGATGTATAGCAGTGATGTCTGTTTTGTTTCCAAATGAAAACTAATCGACCATCAGTTTCTGTCTGTCTGTCTGTTTTCGACATAGAACTTTGCACAAATGTGCGGAAGTTCAAGTCGCCACATTCCGTGTAGCACGCGAAGCAAGAGAAGAAAGTACAAGAAAAGCATAATAGAAACAGTGAGCAGAGGTGTGAGACAAAGGAGTAATAAAGAAATACAAAACAGTTTCATTGGAGATCATAAGTCACAGGGAGTGGATGCATCTGCGCCACTGAGAACGATTTTGAGCCATTTCACCAATTGTTTCCAACCATAGATTTTTACCGTCCCGAGGACCCCAGCCTGGAAGTCTACACCTTCCTACGTGAGGCTTAGACCAACTGTTGTGGATTTCATTGACTGATGCCAAGTTTTTGTTTGACCGCCGCTAGCTGTTTTCCAGTCTGACCCTATATCCGCTAACATTGCTCGTCGAGGGAGGCGATGGCTTGGCATACGTAACACATGTCCTAACCATCTCAGTCGATGTAGCTTCACGACTTCGTCGATTGATTTCCCCTGTTTACCTAGAACTCTACGCCTAACCTCCATGTTGCTCACCTTATTATGCCACTTTACACGGGAAATAGAACGCAGGCACCTATGATCAAAGACAGCTAGTCTTTTCATGTCTTCCACTCTGAGTGGCCAGGTCTCACAACCATACAGGAGGACGGAGCGGACTGATGAGCAGTACACCCGCCCTTTGGTCGATAGTCGAACATCTCGTCTACGCCAGAGTCGGCGTAAACTAACAAATGCGACCATCAGTTAACACATGATATCACTCTGGTTATCCATATCTCGTAGGTAGGCTCGAACTCACTGATGATACCATTTAAGTAATTCCGAAGTGAGGCAAAACATGAAACCTGGAAACCAGTACCAAAGACAGTTGATAAGATCTTAACCGTTAAACGTTTTAGTAGACCTAATGCCTTAAGTATTCGTTTTACCTAGTATATCCTTTATTATACCTTGACCCGGTCAAGTATACGGAGATGTAAACGTCAACACTTCAAGTACAGGTTACATTATAGTGGATAAACAGGGCCTGTAATACATAAGTGGGTTGTATTGTACAATATTATTATGCAATACAGCCGGCAATCTCATAGTTACTCTTGGAACATGCACTGATGTAGGTAGGTTTTATCGCTGTGAGAAAATTAATAAACTCCTCAATACACAGTCAGAGACTGATTCCTACAAATTTTCTAAGATATCAATAAACTATGGCTAAAAATTAATGACTACGAGTCCTACCTACTTTGTGTTAGTAACGACCTCTTGACAAGTTTTACAAAACCACAAAAATATTTGCAGATTTCGCAATAAAATAACGTCTTCCGTGTCCAGTCATAAATCCTTACCCAAACGGAATTTTATCAACTATCTGACAACGGGATATGAGCCGCAGTTGTATAAAATTAAACGATACAACTAAGTTGCTCAGGCCGAAGTAGGTGGAGCAAGATTAAGACTACAGTGCCTTAGCCACTTGGCCAAACTGCCTAATAGGAAGAAGGAGGTTTTTCAAGTCTTGGAATACTCTTAGGCTAAACAACACAGCGGGTGATGCGAAAGTATTTAAATGAGAAGTCTCAGAGTAATTCATACAGCAAAAACAAACCTTGAGGTTTTCAAATTCATAGTTGTGAAGAGATACAGTCCTTAGCTCGTAGGTGACAGGGTTGAAGTTCATAACGGCAACCTACGCGTTAAAAAGAGAAATTTTAGTATTACCTTAGCTTCTGGAAAACTCAAGAGCAGGGAGTCAAGGAGGTCACCTGTAAATCGTACAGCTACAATGTCCGCGATATTTTCATAGACAGAGGTCCCATAGACCCAGTTAAAGCGAATCTCTCCTGTTTTGCTGCTTTATTAACACCATAAGCACTACACGTAACTTACCTCGTTTTTACATTATATATTTCGATATGTCCACCACGTGTCACAACGAGGTTTTTGAACTTGGGATGTAAAAGATGACAATACAGGCAATTGTCTACTGCCGTAGGTGGTGAAACATGCTTGAAAATTGCACTGAAAGTGGTAGGCTTAGTCACATCGGCAGCGGAACTCATTTTAATGTATTGTTGCCGACCCTTTCGAGAGTGCGCCGCCGATCTAAACGACCTTGACAATCGATCTTTCCGCGTTACTCAAGGTTAAGGATAGTTGAGTCGAAGAGTTGTTTTTGTTTCTGAAACCCAACCTAAATTGATTGAAATTATCCTAAATTTGGATTTATCAATAGATATTGTTCTTGAACTTCAGAGAAGAGTTCTCGGAGTCTTGAAAAAACAGGAAAATGAATTTCCAAATATAGAAGACTCTACTAGATTCAGATTCAGATGATAAGGATAGAAGGCTCTTGTGGCCTGTGTTAATCCTTGCAAAGTATATCTCTGCAGAGATCTAACTTCTCTTTGAAAGCGTTCACCGATGGAGCTGATACTACTGAATCAGGTAAGGAGTTCCAATCGTTGACCACTCTGTGAGAGAATCTAAATTCTGCACGTATTTTAATCGTCCTTGGTTTGAGCACCTTTTTGCGGTGACCCCGTAAATGTATCCTAGAAGGGGAGAAAAGGTTAGAAAGGTCAGTTCCTAAATCACCCTTAAGTATACGGTATGCTAAAATTAAGTCGCCTCTCTTCCTTCGGTATGATAACGGGAAGAGATTTAAATGCTCCATCCTCTTATCATAAGGAAGGTGTGAGATACCACTAACTAATTTTGTTCCTACTCTCTGTACTCTTTCCAGAATATGTGCCTCCTTTTTGAAGCATGGACTCGTCGCTTGTATGCAGTATTCTAGATGAGGCCTGACATATGTTGCGTAGAGTATTTGGAACATGCCCTCGTCTAATCGTTTGAAAGCCCTTCGAATTGCCCATAGCATTCGAAAAGCTTTAGCTGCGGCTGCATTGCAATTTGCAGTTGTTTTCAAATCGTTGCTGACAATGATTCCTAGGTCCTTCTGTTCTTTAACATCAGGTAGTTCTGCATCCCCTAGGGAGTACGACGTATAAGACTTCTGACCTAAGTGCATTACCGCGCTTTTCCTAGCATTCATTTCCAAACTCCATAGGCTTGACCACTCAGCTAATTTATCTAAGTCATTTTGTAGGGCCAACCTATCCTCGTTATTGTTTACAGTTTTCCATACCTTAATGTCATCTGCAAATAATAATGAAGATGAAGAAAGAATCCCTGGTAATTCGTTAACGTATAATAGGAATAGCAATGGACCTAATACAGTTCCCTGGGGCACTCCACTGGATACTGCTTTCCATCCTGATAGTACACCATTAACTCTAACCTTCTGCCTTCTATCCATTAAGTAATCTCTAAACCACTCACATAGGCATTGGTCTAGTCCGAAACCTTTCAGTTTACTAAGGAGACCTAAGTGGGATACTTTGTCGAACGCCTTGCTAAGATCAATAAAAACCACGTCCAACAGATGGTCCCTATCTCTGGCCTCAACCCAGTCTTCCCTAGCCAATAGTAGGTTTGTCAAGCAGGATCGTCCTGGTCGGAATCCATGCTGTTCCACAGCCAACAAGCCATGTGTTTCAACATAAGCTAATAGTTGATCCCTTATAATAGTTTCCAGTACCTTTGCAATAATGCATGTCAGACTTACCGGCCTGTAGTTAGATACCAATTGCCTATCCCCGTCCTTGAAGATAGGGCTTATAATGGCATCCTTCCAGTCCCTGGGTAGCTTAGCCTGCGTCAGAGACATTTGGAAAATCTCCGTAAGCGGAATATATATTATATCCGCCAAGGAAAGTAACAACTTAGGGTGGAGTCCATCCGGCCCAGGTGATTTACCTGGCTTCAGTTTAGACAGTAGTTTCAGAACCTTTGTGTGCTCTACCACAATTGAGGGCATCTGAGTGGCGATGGCAGTGACCTCGCCATATCCCTGGGTGGTACTATCAGACGAGAAGACGTCACAGAAGTATTCAGAGAGGTTTTCAGCCTTCCCTTCGTCTGACTCAGCCGCTTCTCCACTAATGGTTATGAGTGACGGTATACCACTGCTAGTTTTAGTCCTACGTTTAATATACGAGTAAAACCTTTTTGGGTAATGAACGCAATCTAGTACTAATCGTCTCTCGTACTCTATACGACTCTTGTTAATCGCATACTTACAGAGGTTTCGAGTTTTGCGGTAGTCTTTCTGGAAGTTTTCCCTTCCTGTCATAACAAATTGGTCCCATAAGTTCTTTCGCCGTCTTAATAACCTCCTTATTTCACTAGTGATCCAAGGAGGTTCATGCGACGGCTTTCGAGGAGTGTACCAAGGTATAAAAGGTGAAGTGACACGATCTAGTGTATTCCTAAATCCTACCCAAGCTTCCTCGACAGTCTGACTTGTATCAACTGACCAGTCAACCACAGTTGCTGCGTTCCGGATTCCTTGTATATCCGCTTTCCAAATGTTTGGACGAGCAGATTTTGGCCTGTGCATGAGAGAATGAATCCTAAACGTAAAAGCAATGACTATGTGGTCACTGCTGCCAAGCGGCGGAAGGCACCTAATGTTACCAACGTCCTCCTTCTGGTGTGTCAATACCAAGTCTAGAGTAGATGGATCATGTTCAGGGTGATACCGTGTTGGTGCATGCATATGTTGCACGAGTGCACATTCAAGCACTGTCAATGTGAGCTCCCTATTGAAACAGGTATACAAACTAGTGGAGTTTAATTCCCCCCAATTAATATGTGGAGCGTTAAAGTCGCCAACAATCAGACACCTATTTCTACTACCCCACGCCCTCAAGTGATTTAGAACGAAGTCATCAGCTTGGCTAGCAGGACTTCTGTAGATAACTCCGATCGTTAAAGTGCCTTTGTTTAAGTTAATGATGCAACTTGCGGCTTCACTGGTGCCGCTGTCATGAGCTTCTGACAACGTTGACCTGATCCCTATGTCATCCCGGATGTAAAGAGCAACCCCCCCACCTTTCCGACTACTTACTCTGTCTGCTCGTATGCAGATATACCCAGGTATGAGTGGAGTTAAGTCTACACCCACTAACAACCACGTCTCAGTGATAGCAATTACATCAGGTTGTAGTCTTTCAGATAACTCTCCTAATTCGGCGAGCTTATTCCTAAGACTACATGCGTTCGTATAGCACACCGAAACACCTACGTGTTCACCCGGCTTATGAAGAGAGGTCTCGGCAGCATCGGTTTCCGAGACCTCACCACCCGAAAACCCAATAGTTTGAGGTCCTTCTCGCCTTTCTCTAGCCTGGCCTTTAGTTCAGCCACGGCTTCTCTTCTTTTGATTCTATCTTCCAAAGGCCAATCAGGCCTTATTTTTAGACTTTTGTCGTTGACTTTGAACGCGTTGTCGAGGATGGTCCTCCTCTCTGTTTCGTTCCCTAAAACTACCTTAAGTAGTCGTCGAGGAGTTCCTGTAGCATCAGGGTTTCGTTTTCCGATCCTGATAGCCTTTCGTACGTGTACTCCAGTTGTTTTTTCGGGAAGTATTTCCCGGAATATGGAGCTGATCGCCTTCAGATCATCTGCATGTCGGGCAGCTGGATCTGTGTTCTTAGATTCCTCCAAGTTCCAGATGATAATACTGTAACTAGAGTCCGTGGGTTTCTGAGTTTTGCTGGAACTAACAGTCGTCGAGACCTTGTTGGTAAACTCGGCTACTGTTTCTTTCCTAGTTTTGTTTAGCTTCTTACCTTTCGGCAGCAACCAAGTGGAGTCCGTTTCTCCCACTCTGTTTTCGCCGCGACTAGAAGCCATTCGTGCACTAGACACGCTGCGCTTTGGCGTTGCTATTTCACAGGCTGGTTTTGCCATGCTGGCACTACTTGCCCTTCTGGATTTCCGTTGCCTTTTGCGCTTTGCAGCAACAGATGTCTGGGCATTTTGTGCTTCTTTCGCTTCTGAGACTTCAGGAGGTGATGCACCCTGAATCTTACAACTATGTCCTGAACCGCCATCCTTGGCGAAGGTTTCTGGTACAGGCTTTTCAACTATGTCTTTCGACAATTTCTTGGACATCAAGAGTCCTACTGCCTCTTGGATGAGGACATCTAACGGGTTGCTGCAAAATTTGCACAGCCATGGAGATGATGGCTTGCAACATCTCTTATAGGCTACTGGTGTTAAACCAGTGCAAACTTTGTGGAACCAAAGGCTGCAGTTGTCACACTGCATCCCATCATCCACCGGAAAGTGGCAGTCCGGTCGACCACAATTGTTAGTTGGGGCCATAATTTTAATTTGTTACAACTATACAGTTATATATACGTCAAAACAGTGAGGTTAATGCCAAACAAATACACACTTATATATACGTGTGACAGCTAGGTAAATACCAACCAAAACACAAAATGTGAATAAAACAGACAACACTTGAACTAAATAAATCAGTTAAAGTGAACTAAAAGCTTCTGATGTGGTTTAAACAACAAAAGCAGAATTTACTTCACAACGTAAAAAATGCCACTCTCCTTTTTCAAAGCGCGCGCAATTCAAGGTGAAAATACAAAATCAGGTATTTCGTTCATCCTCTAGTGTGTCATCCTAGAAGAATTTTAGAAACGGCAAATAGAAAGTGATTTCCATTTACGTATGAAAGAATAATACAGCTTATGTTCATCTATGACATCAGAAAATCTTAAATGTTTTGCTTGATAAGAACATACTGGTCACTAAATGTTTGTCACTGCTTTTGCAAACCCACGAATATGCCTTTTTAACGTATCACAGTTTCCAATGGGCTACCACCTGGATATTTTATCCTTGACATGCGAAATTAGTAGTAGCAGAGTAAAACAAAGATCTTCATATTAATTCACACCTTTTAAGGTCACTCATTGCAATTCGGCACAAACTCAAAGCGATGTGTAGCAGCCAAAATACTAAACAGCTATGCATATGTATATAAATCCTTAAATCTTAGGAAGAATAAAATTATTTCTACGCCTGAAAGTTTGCGTTATTCTTATAGCTGTGGCATTAGAGAAGCGTGACTGTGTCAATCATACGGATGCCAAAGTTAGGAAAACAGAAAGGCACTAACTGAAATATTCAATTT